CATTCATCCAAAGCTACTTGTGGTCAATCTATACGTAAAGTGTAAGCCTGCCACAACTGCACGTTGAACTTGTTGTTGTCTTTTGTTTCCTAGGAAGTATTTGAAAGTGGTAGTGATAGGCGAAGTTCACTAATTTTTTTAATTCTATGTCAGCTCTCACTCAGCATTAGCAGCAGGACTGCCTTAGTAGACAGAATGCTGTCAAAGTTTTGTGGGGAGGAAAGAATTGTTGATTGTTGATTGTTGGTGTGGGAGACAGGGACCACCAGAGTGTTTTCGTGATGGGATTTTGACTGGTATTTGTATCAGAAAGTGAAACATTAAATTCAATATCAATCTTCTGTGTCACACTGATGCATGGTGGCTGTAGGACAGTCTGTTCTCAACATAAGACCTCCAGTTAGTTCTGGTTACTCTGAGACCAATCAGTGTGTGGAAGACATTGAAAAACATTGGCTTAATTCTTTATTAAAAATGGTGCAAAACAAAGTAAGTTATGAGTCTCCAAAGGTCCAAACACGCCTTCGGTAGTTATTTGACCAGTACTATCAGATGCGAAACACTTGCTATATTTCAATCAAAAATTATGCAAGGCAGTACATTTACAAATTTAAAGACAAGTTATGATGTCACACACCTTGAGGTACCACTCCAGCTCGATCTTGGGATCTCTGATCTCGATCTCGCACTCAAATCTGGCGCGGTTATGCGGCGGGATACGCTGGTCTTCTGGTCCACGCAGGGGCATCACACGCTGTGGAACACAAATAAGGAATACATCAACATTTCAGGTCTTACAATGGTCATAGTCTAACTAGAAAGTAATATTTGTAAAGCAATTGGATGATGGGCTAACCCAACAAACTACTGCTACTGCTCTGTTTATTCAATTCAAGGAGGCTGTATTGAGGTTTTATACAATGTACATCCAGCTTGTTTTTGAAAGTAAGATGAATATAACTTGACTTTCAGCACCAAGGTCAGGGACAATTCTATTTTGTTCTTGTATTGTATATATTGTTGAATTGATTAGTATCAGTAATCATGTAGTCTAAAGTATTGCAGTTAGGAATCGCGATAGAGGTTCCAGACAAGCTCCTTGTTGTCACAAACACATCCATATACTAGTATATGGTGAAATCACAAAACGTCACAAGGAACCGTTTCTCCTTTATCTATGGTGTCAGCAACACCGACGGGAAAGAAATGGATTTTTACTTCCGGGACAGAAGTATTGTTTTGGTTGGCACTAGCATATGATAGGTTTGTATGCTTGGATTCCAAAGATGGATAATGAGGAAAACATCACAAGGAAGGGTGTCTCCTTTGTGTAAGAGTCTAAAACCCACCTCCTCTGCTCTGCTTATTCTTACACAAACACATCCGTATACATGGTGACATCACGAAACAACACAAGGAGTTGTAAGAGTGTTAGAAACCCACCTCCTCTGCGTACAGACTCTTCTGCATCTCCTCGAAGGCGCGCTCGAAGTCCACCTCGGCGCCCTCCATGGGCTGTGGGGTCGGGGTACGCGGCTGCCAGGCCTCACGGCCCTTCTTAGCAGCCTGGGAACGAGAAACAATTGGTGTCGTCTTACATCATACAGAAACCAGAATAAAAAGTGTAAACAGAGAGATAGATAAGATTCTAGCTTCCCTTCGGAAGTAAGAAGAATAAAACTCGACTTTCAGCACCAAGGACAGGGGCAGTTCTATTTGTATACTCGTATATGTACGCAGGGCCACTCTGAATAGCAGTGTCTAGTCACTTAGGGTGCCATCCTTCTAAAAATACAGAAATAAATAACTAAACAAATAGATACATACACATACTTCTTTGGATAAGCAGTTTCTAAACTTTAAAACATACACATACAGAAGCCAGACTACATGAGTCTGTAAATCTTTGCTTTGCCACGTTTGAAGTGTTTGACTTGAGAGGAGTCAGTATCTTTACCTCGAGCTTCTTGCCTACCTCCTCCAGAGTATAGCATTTGGCCATTATTATCAGTAATCATATAATCTAGAGTATAGCAGTTAGCCATTATTATCTTTACCTCGAGCTTCTTGCGTCCCTCCTCGAGCTGTGCCCTCTGCCAGATGAGATGATGCAGCAGACCACGGAAGTCGTAAATCTTGAACATCCGGGCGTACTTCTCATACTCGGACGGGTCAACGTTCTTAAGAATCTCCCAGATGTCAATGTCATGTTCCTCCTCCTTACGGAGGGAAACACTGGGGGGAGGAAAAGAAATTGTTACTTCTGGAAGTATTGTTTTGGGTCGCACTGATTTATGGTAGGTTTGTATGTTTGGATTCCAGACTTAGACACTGGAGAAACAAATTTCATGAATCTTACAGAGAGCAACACTGGAGAGAAAGAAAGAGATGTTCTACTTCCAGGGCAGAAGTATTGTTTTGGGTCACACTGATCTATGCTAGGTTTGTATGTTTGGTTTCCAGACTAACATGGGTGGTGTAGTAGTGCATAATAATCCATTCTATGATGTAAATGTCCAAGGGAAAGTTCTCGATGATATGCTAATGTTCACACCAGGTACATACTGTTTATACTGCTGCTGCTACTACTACTACTACTACCACTACTACTACTGCTAACACTACTTCTACTAGGGCTACTACTACTACTACTACTACAAGTACTACAACTACTGAGGTACTTACGGTTTGAGAAGTGAGCGCCAGTCTAGCAGCTCCTTGGGTTTCTCTTCCACGATCAGCGTCACACCGCAGACCTCCTTGCCGCCTTCATTCTCAATGATGCACTTGTAGTTACCTGTGAGACGTGGGTTTGATGAGAAACATCAGTGTACTATACTTGGCCAAGGCTAATGAATTAATATAGGAATATGTACATAGGGACCTGACAACATCAGTGTACTTGCATGGCTAAATAAAGAAATATAGGAATACAGGAACCTAACAATTCAGATGCAAAAGGGCAACACTAGTAATCTGTCGTTATTATTCACCAAAGACTGTTGCCATACACTGTACATTGTACCTTGTATGAATGAGAGATACACAAATGAGAGATACATTAAGCCATTAGAGTTCAGACATCTAACATGGATATAACTGGCAGGGGTACAAGAAAGCTGAGAAACCTAGATTTAAACTCTGGACCAATAACACTTAGAGTCTAGACATTCAACTGCATTCAAATACATTGTGAATTTACCAGAATGCAGTAACTCTTATAAAGAGCTACATTGAAGTTCCTATACTGAACTGCAGTTATACCGAGACAGAGAAGCTGGTGTGTTATGGTAGTGCGAAGGATAGTTATACCAGATATACAGGTACAGTACAGAAGCTGGACAGGTGTGTTACGCTTAAGAACAGCTCCAGGTACAGACCTGCATCTGACGGCTTGGTCTCGCGGATCTCCATGACGTACTCGTCCTTCTTGGTGTCGTGGTAGACGTGGATGCGGGCCGAGTCCTCGATGGACCGCCACTTGCCCTTCATCCAGCGGACCGTCGGCTTCGGGTCGCCGCCTACCTTGGCGCGGAACTGTGTACCAGATCCTGGGAAGAACAAAATATATGTCAGTTTTGTAGCTAGAATAAAGTAGAAGACGAAGCCCACTCTATTTTAGATCTTTAAGCAAACTTTTCAGAGCACGTAAGAACTTATTATAGGCAAATAAGTGTTTCAGCACAGTTCAAGATTTTGTAAAGATGTCTAAAAGGAACAGCCAGCCTTCGTGCCAGATCCTGTGCGACACGTAAACAGACATGTTTAACCTACTTCCTACTACTGAAGCTCGTAACCAATACAAATATTCGGTTCCAAATGGCTACCTTAGCAGGCTGGAGGTTTAGCCAAGTTTCGTAAAAAGTTCGTAAAGGTGTCTGAAAGGCACAGCTGAACTTTTCGTAACGACTCTGCATTTGTAAATATGACGGAGACACCAGAGCTTGTCAGTTTTGTAACTCGAATAGAGTACTGTAGAGGAGCTATTGAGATCGCTTGCAGCAGCGACACCTAGCATGCCACTTTATAAATGCAAGCCAATTTACGAATATGACGATCGTATATCGAGTATTTTTCGTGGCCACTTTTATCTAAAGTAGAGGCTCAGCCAACAACTAAATTACGGAGTTATCTATCGTTTGAATCCCCACCTTCTGGCACGGTTCTAGCTTAGAAGACTTTACCGTAGACTAAAGAGCAAATATTGAGACCGCATGTAACAGCGACATCTAGCATGCCACTTTATAAATGCAAGCCTGATTTACGAATACATCCGACTACATCTCGAGTATCTTTCGTGGCACAACAACTAAACTATCTATCGTTAGAATCCCCACCTTCTGGCACGGTTCTGTATTTGGGTTTCATGATGAAGAAAGGTCCGGGTCCCTTCGTCTTGGGTTTGGCCTTCTTCACGGCTTCCTCTCCCACCATCGGGACCTCCTTCTTGGGCTTCGGTTTCTTCACCTGAAACCGAACCATGGTTTTCTCTCAAACGTCCACGATTTATTTACTACAGTAACTGTACAACATTTTGTTAGAAGTCTCCTTTGCTGTTATATCGTTTTTTCGTCACATTATTTGAGCTAGAGTCCCTTTTCTACGGCTTCTCTACAGCCAATACATGAGCCATGTTCTAGCATCTAAACCGCCAGACACGTTTTGCCCAGCACCAAATACAGATGCAAACGTACGTAACATTTACATGGCTTACTTAAATCATATTAATCCCCCTCCCCAGTCTAAGATGGAATAAACAGAAAGCGAACACTGAAAACAGGGTTACTCCTTGACGATGAAACAGTCATGTTCTAACATCTAAAACGCCAGACAAATACATTTGCAAATGTCCTACATGTAACATCTAAAGGGCTGATGTCTTAATTCTATTTTTTTTCAAAGATAGAATAAACTGAAAGCAAACACCTTAAGTAGGGCTATTCCTTAAAAAGACGTACCTTCGGTTTGACGAGGACAGGTTTCTCCTCGACCTTCTCCTCCTTCTTGGCGACGGGCTTCTTGATCTTCGGCTTGACCACCTTGGGTGGCGGGGCCTCGAACTTCAGCTCTGGCACTGAACATAAACGGGCACATTCTTCAACATCTACCCTGCGATTTCCCACCTTTGATGAACTGAGATTGTGTCCTGTATGTGTGTGTTTGCGTGTGTTCCAGCCCCGACATTATTGTGGTGTCCTGTCAGAAATTTTCGGGTCCGATCTCCTGGCATGCCCATGTAGTTAACATGACTTTCCTCACTTCAGCTCTGGCACATTCCTCAACATCTACCCTGCGATTTCCCACCTTTGATGAACTGAGATGCTAGTGTGTATGTATGTGTCCCCGCCTGTCATTACTGTGGCATCTTGACAGTTATTTCCCGGGTTCGATCCCCTGGGATGGCCATGTGCTTAACATGAACTTTCCTTACTATTGTGGAGTGACGCCTACCTTGCCTCTGTTAAAACACGTGGACTGTATAAAACACGTGGTTGTATAAAATGTATGCTTTACTCTGCTGTTATCTATCTAATTAGCATCTTAACTGGGTGTCAAAGGTGACATTTGGACGAGTGCACATGTCTACTTATAATTTAGGTGTGAACAAAACAATCACTAAATGTTATCAGGGAAATATCTTTAGAAAACTTTATCCATTACTTTGTGTTATAGGGTTTAGCATTACGTATACGTTTCTAAACGTGATTTTAATGCTAATTGTGAAGAGTTATTTATGTGACTTAAAGATAGATTAAAACGTCTAATCTCACTGATTTTCTTCATACCTTGAACATACGCAGGAGCATCCCATTATTGTATCACAGTCAGCAGAATGGACTCTTCTTCTTCTCTTTCTGCAGTTCACTGTTACGTCTTACATCCTCTTACTTCTTAGTTTGTAATAGAAGAATCTTCTAACTACATTTTATGTCTTTAACCCTTCCCATTTGAAGGGGACTGCATTACATTTATAGAGTAGCACCTACTGACTGGAAAGTTTGCGTTAAAGTAAAACATAGACGTTCGTGTTTATCTATAAAATAATCTTTATTCAGACTTTTCCTATCAGGATGGGTGGGTTTGGTAGGGTTTAGGGTAGGTGCCAGGATTTGAGGGGTTATAAGGTTTAGGGTAGGTTTCAAGGTTTTGGGGCGGTATTGGGGGAAAGTTGGGTTTGGAAAGGGTCATACATAAAGTACCACCATGTGTATCATTTGCTATAAACTGATCTTTAAGACCGACACGTATTTTCCTGGTTAGACGTTTTCTAAAACCCTTCTGAAGGTACCTGTCTGAATCAAATACCGTTATCTAGGTGTCTTTACATGTACGTGTCGCAGTGAGGTAGTGGATACACGTGATATGCTATGAATGTGTTCAGCTTATATACTCTGGAAACGTGCACAATATATAATAGGCTATCATATCTCAAGCCATACTCTTGGTTTTGCTTACACAACATGCTGTATAACCAACATATCTAGCATTCACGTTCAAGCATGCATTACGGCTCAAGCGAACGATCATTAACAAACATAAACTCCCGTGCATTTTTGGTCTCTGTCGACAGCATGATTCGCACAAGGAGGTTAAATAATTTAACCTCCTTGATTCGCAATACGAACACAGCACAAGTTTGTATAATGTTCTGTCTGTAAAATCCCGCAGCGTTGGTCATACAAGCAACAGTTTCACTCTGCAAGAGACACCGCTGTAGACTGACGCTGTCCATAACATAAAACAGGCATTTCATACAGTTTCTTTAGAATAAGATTCTCTCGTTGCAATAGATCCACGAAGTCCACGTGATACACGTCAGAATATCATGCACAAGTCACGTGCGCGGCATGCAAGAGCCAGGCAACAACGGCGATTGGTTGATTCATATACGGCCACGGCAAGATCAAAGTCCGCGCCGAGAGCGACGTCACAACTCGACGGCATCGCCCGTTGTTGTACACCGTACCTTCGATGATGAGCGGTGCCGAGATCTCCACCATCCCGGCCGCGTTGCGCGCGCGGCACGTGTAGAAGCCTTCGTCCGCAAGGTCAACTCTGCAGGACACAAACGTAACGTCGGTGTGATACCAAAATCGGTGTGATACCAAACAGCGGTGTGATACCAAACAGCGGTGTGATACCAAACAGCGGTGTGATACCAAACAGCGATGTGATACCAAACATCGGTGTGATACCAAATTGGGCAATACATGAATTTTCTAGATGTCAGCTACATGTGACGAGTACTATTAAGTAACATGGGAAGACGCTGTGAGCTATGTACAGTTCAAAGTGTTAAGAACTTTATCTACTTTAGTATGTAAAGATGAATGATGGAACGAACAATAAACGGCAAAAGAGGCATCTCTATATCTAAGTAGGAAGATATGTAAGTTCAGCAAAATTGAGATATGACATTTTATGCATGATGAGATGATGTACATATGTAACAATGGGCACAATTCAGCCTACATGCAAGTAGTGCTGCAAAGTCGATTGAACAATAAACCATTTGATTGATTGATTGATTGATTGATGCATGTTTTGCCAGCTGATTTGAGTCTTTCGTGAGTGTTACATCTCTATATCTCTGAAGATATCCAAACTCGGCAAAATAGTTTTGTCATTCACGATTGTTACCTGGGGATAGCCAGTACAGCTACGTTGTCGTCGAACAGGATCCAGTGTTTGGGTCCCTCGTGGAGCTCCACTCCGTCCTTCAGCCAGGCCACCTCGATCTCGGGTGAGCCGGTCACCGCGGCAACGAACCGCACGGACCCGCCCTCCATGGCCCGGATCTCGCCGTACTCTCGCGAGAACGACGGCGGGATGATCTGGGGAGCCTCCTCTTCAGCTGAACAGAGAAACAGTTCAAACACAACCGTTAGATTTCCATACCCACTCTTAAACATAATCACCTGAAAAAAAGGATCAAAGCGATCGTGATGAAATGAGTGTGTGTGGTGAGGTTTGCAGTATGTTATATTTGCGTTCCGGCTGAGCTATTGGGGAATGTCTGTGGAAAGAAAACTTTAAATTTCATGCGTTTGTCGCACTTTAAGTCAATGCGATGGAGTGCAAAAAAGCGTCCTGATGGAGGTGACGTCATTCTTCTGGAATGGGTGGAGATGACGTCGCTCGGTGACGTCATGATGGCGTCATAACTGACAAAAAACTACAATTTTTTTTCGCGCTGGAAGGCAATGCGATGAAGTGCAAAAATGCGTCCTGATGGAGGTGACGTCTTTCTTCTGGGATGGGTGAAGATGACGTCGTGATGGCTGTCGTGATGACGTCATGATGACGTAAAAACTACCTGTTGGCTGCTCGTCCCTCTGCTTCACCTGCGGCAGGTGTCCTGTCACCTGGAACCTGTGGTACAGCATCTCGTACTGCACGAACTTCTGCAGGAACGCGCGCGCGGACAGAGTAGGCGGTTCGGTCGGCTCCTCCACTTTCGGCTCCACCGCCAGTTTAGCGTGCATGGTCTGTTCCCCCAGAGAGTTCCGTACGGTGCAGGAGTACCAGCCGGCGTCGGTTACGCGACTTTCCTGCACTTCCAGGGTGCACACCCCGGATTCAGACATCTCAACTCTGCAACGCTCGCTGCTAGAGAGGTCTACGTCGTTAAAGTACCAGGCTACTTCGGGCGCGGGCTCTCCGACCACTTTACAGTCAAAGGCTGCCGGTTCACCCTCCAGGACGGAACAGCTCTTCGGGACTCGGATGAAGCTGGCTGGTTCTTCCTTTGAGATTTCTACCTCTTCCTTCTTCTCCACCTTAACGGACTTAAGCTGAGATTTGAAGTCGAGTTTCTCTTCTTTCTTGGTTTCTAGAAAATGTAGAGACAACTGTTACACACATGCATCAAAACGCGTTACAAAAAGCGAAAATATGGATTCAACACTTGTGTAAAGATGACAAACCATTAGAGATAAAAGCAGCACCATACATACTCTGTAGTTGAAGAGTCACCATAGCCTTTGCTTGTCCATACACATTCACAATGTCCAGCATGTATTTTCCTGAGTCCTTAGGTCCTGTCTTTTTCAGCTTTAAGACAACTGAGTGGATATGCCCACTCGAGTGCGTCTCAAAACTGTACCGACCTCCAGACTTTATAACACGGTTTCCTTGATACCAAGTGATCTGTGGAGAAAAAACATTACAAAACGTAATTAAAAAATGACTCCAGCAAACAAAATAGGAAAGAAATTGCAGTACGAACACCAAGAGCATACATTACCTCAGGAGTAGGGGAGGAAAATATCTTGAACGGGAATGTTACATCTTCGCCCTCGGTGATTGTCAGAGATTTGGGTCTCTCTATAATGTTTGGCGGAACAGGTTCAGGCTCTGGTTCGGGCTCTGACTTCACTTCCTCAAACGTCACAGGTTCGAGTGGAAGCGGTTCCATTGGTTCAACCGTTACTTCCGGTACTGTCATTGGTTCAACGGTGATGATTTCAGGTTCAACCAATACAGGAGGTTCCTCCACAATTTCGGGCTCTTCTTCGGGAATGGGTTCGGGAGCCTCGGCTATTTCAGGAGTAGGTTCAACCCCTACGCGGCTTCCAGAGTCGACTTCCTCAATAAGCAATGCCTGTAGCTGTTCTGGCGCAACTTCTTCTGTCACGAGGCTCTGTTTGATCTCAAGCGTTCGTTGAGTGCCGAAAAATGTGGCAGTTTCTTTGGACACATAGCCTTCATATGTAGCAAAGAGTAGCACCCCCTGAGGCTTCTGGGGCTCGAGCGAAATCTCAATTTCCGGTAACCCTCCGTCAACGAAGAGTACTTGTTCTGTTATCTGTGAAACAGCTGAGGCCAGAGTTTCTGTAAGTTCGAGCTCCTTTAAGATAGAGAAAACAACCTCAGAGGACAGCGTGACGTCCATCTTTCTCTCACGTGCCTCTAGCTGCTCGACATACAGAGTGACCGATCGTTCGGCTCTGTTGATGTGAATTTTGCAGTTTGTTTCATACCTGGCAAAATCGAGCATTATCGGCCCAAACTGTAGATTCATTTGTTTCTCTACGACGTAGTGTGCAGCTTCGCTTTCCTGCACTTCTGTTTGCTCTTCGGGTATTTCTTTCACAACCTTCGGCTCAACGATGAGTTTGGCTCGCATCGTCTGTTGGCCAAAATCGTTAGAAGCGGTACAGGAATACCAACCCGCATCGGAGAGAACAACTTCGTTAACGGACAACTGGCATTCTCCTGAACCATTGTAGTCTACAACGTATCGATAACCATCAAGAACCTGGTCGTCTCTGGACCATGTAAGTGTGGGTCGCGGTTCGCCAACGACTTTGCAGTAGAACTTAGCGTTCTCGCCTTCTGTGCCAGTCCAGTTCTTAGGAACCTTGACAAAAGCCGCTGGTTCTTTCTTTTCTACAACTTCTTCTACAACTTCGACCTTTTCTTGTTTGAGAGTTTTCAACTGCTTGAGGAACGTGGGTTTCTCTTCCTTTTCGCGAGTGACGAGTTGGAGAGTCATCATGGCTCTCGCTTCCCCGCACTCATTAGAGATAGTCACAAGAAAGTTGCCAGAATCTTTAGATGCTACCTTCTTGATTACAAGAGATGTGGTGTACAACTGCCCACTTGTTTCTGTTGTGATTTTTAGTCTGCCACCAGATTTGAGAACGCGGTTGCCTTGGTACCAGGTAATCTGTGGTGTGGGAGATGCCATCACCTTACAGACAAACTCTACGTCTTGTCCCTCCTCTACAGACATCGCCTTCGGTTTTTCCACAAAGAAGGGGCCAATGTCTTCGGGTTGTGGCTCTCCTTCTGAAGACACATCCTCAAGATCTACCGGTTCTTCAGGGATGGACTCTAATGGTTCACCTTCCACCTCAGTTTCTGTCATTGGCTCAACTTCGACTAATTCTGGCTCGACAAGTTCTGCTGGTTCAAGCGACTCTGGTTCCGGGACAATTTGGTCCTCTGGTATTTCTGCAAGAATGTCTGACTCTAAAATCGGTTCTAGAGTTTCAACGTCCTCCTGTGCGGGTAGATGCGACTCGAGCTGGACTATCTCTGGTTCTTCCGGCTGCAGTTCAACCGTTAGTTTAGCTCGCATGGACTGTTCTCCGTGAGCATTGCTGACTGTGCACGTGTACCAACCTGAGTCAGAAGTGACGGTATCACGAATAGACAACACACAAACACCGGACGAGTTGTAATCCACAGTGTAACGGTCTCCTTCCAATTCCTGGTTGTCTCTGAACCACTTCAGGGTTGGACGTGGCTCGCCGACTACCTTACAGTCGAACTCAGCAGTTTCTCCCTCCAACGTGTCGAAGTTTTTGGGAACTTTCACAAACGAAGCAGCCTCTGCTTTTTCTTCTACTTCCTCTGTCTTTTCCTCTTTGACTGTCTTCAGTTGTTTTCTGAAGTCTACCTTTTCTTCCTTCTGCACGGTGACAAGTTGAAGGGAGATCATGGCTCTTGCTTCGCCAAAATCATTTGAAGCGACCAGTAAGATCTTTCCTGAATCTTTTGTTGCCACTTTCTTGATCTTCAGTGACGTGACGTACACCTGCCCACTTTCCTCTGTAGTTACCTTCAAGCGACCGCCAGATTTCAGAGCACGATTTCCTTGGTACCAGGTAATCTGTGGGGTGGGAGATGCCATAACCTTACAAGTAAACTCTACGTCTTGCCCCTCCTCTACAGACATCGCCTTGGGTTTTTCTACAAAGAAGGGACCGATGTCTTCTGGCTCAGGTTCACCTTCTGAGAACAGTTCCTCAAAGTCTACTGTTTCCTCAGGAAGGGACTCCCGTGTTTCAGTCGACACTTCAGCTAATTCTTCAGGCTCTACTGTAAGTGATTCTAGCTCCACAGGCTCTGAAGGTTCAAGGGGTTCCGCTAATACCTCTAAGTCCTCTGGGATTTCTTCAAGAGTAACTGCCTCCTGAGGTTCCTCCACAACTTCTTCCACCTCCTCCTTGGAAGGAAGAGTCAGTTCTAAGTGTATCGTCTCAAGAAATCGGGAGCCTTCAGGTACTTCACCATCAAATGTAAGCTGTAGCTCCGTCTGGTCTCCTACAGGCTGGAGGAGGATCGTGATTTCCGGTAAACCTCCGTCAATGAACAGAACCTGTTCAGCCACCTGTGTGATCAAGGAAGCTAACATTGTCTGTATGTCAAATTCCCTTAGGATGGAAAGTACTAAGTCTGAAGTCAAGTCGACTTCCAGTTGTTTTTCCATTGGTTCTAACTCCTCAACGTATACGACAAGCCGTCTGGAGACTTTACTGATGAAAATACGCGTTTGCTTTAGGATAGTGATGTACTCTAGCAATAAGGTGGCAAAAGTGATTTCCCTACGTTCAACTATAGTCAAAGAGTCTTCCTCAAGGGCTGGTTCTGGCTCAGGTTCAGGTTTGGGTTCTACAGCAAGTTTAGCCCGCATGGACTGTTCCCCGTGAGGGTTACTGACCGTACAAGTGTACCAGCCTTGGTCAGAAGGGACGGTGTCATGAATAGACAATACACAAACTCCGGACCCGTTGTAATCTACGGTGTAACGGTCGCCTTCCAATTCTATGTCATCTTTTGACCATTTCAGCGAAGGTCGTGGTTCACCGACAACCTTGCAGTCAAATTCAGCGGTCTCACTTTCGAGAGTGCTGCAGTTCTTGGGGACTTTTATAAACGCGGCAGGCTCTGTCTTTTTAACTTTAACAGGTTCCACCTCTTTTGGTTTTTCTTGCTTGACAGTTTTTAACTGTTTCTTGAATTCTACTTTCTCTTCCTTTTTAACACTTAGGAAATCAAGAGACATCATGGCTCTGGCCTCTCCATAATCATTTGAGGCAGTAAGCATGAGGTTACCTGCATCCTTTGGCGCTACCTTCTTAATGATAAGGGACGTGGTATATAGCTGACCACTAGTTTCTGTTGAAATCTTTAGTCGGCCAGTAGATTTAAGAACCCTGTTACCCTGGTACCAAGTAATTTGGGGTGCAGGAGAAGCCATAACCTTACAGACAAACTCTACATCTTGTCCCTCCTCTACGGACATTGCTTTGGGCTTTTCAACGAAGAATGGAGCAACGTCTTGTGGCTCAGGCTCCCCTTCTGAAACAACTTCCTCAAGATCTACCGGTTCTTCGGGAAGAGATTCCACTGTCTCAGTGGACACCTCAGTTTCTTCCATTGGTTTAAGTGAGGAAGACTTTTGTTTGACAAGCTCTGCGCCCACATACTCCTCTGGTTCTTCGACAATTAACTCCTCCGGTATTTCCTCTAGTATCTCTGTCTCTGGAATCCCTTCGACCAGTTCGATTTCTTCGTCTGGAGAGTAATACAGTTCCGGTTCGACGATCTGGGGTTCAACTGGTTTTAGATGGAGGATGAGTTTGGCCCGCATGGACTGTTCTCCGTGGATGTTGCTGACTGTGCATGTGTACCAGCCTTGGTCAGAAGGGACGGTGTCATGAATAGACAACACACAAACTCCGGACTGGTTGTAGTCCACGGTGTAACGGTCGCCTTCAAGTTCTATGTCGTCCTTAAACCACTTCAAAGATGGACGTGGTTCGCCGACAACTTTGCAGTCAAACTCAGCTGTTTCTCCTTCCGGTGCTTCGCAGTTCTTAGGAACCTTAACAAATGAAGCAGGCTCGGCTTTCTCGCCCAGGATCGCTTCTAGTCTCTCTTCTGTGGCTTCGTCTTTTTCACTCTGGATACTCTGGATACTTTGCCTTCTACTTTCCGCTTTTGCCTTTAGTTGTTTTCTGAAGTCCACTTTTTCTTCCTGCACGGTTACGAGCTCAAGCGAAATCATGGCTCTGGCCTCTCCCAGCTCATTTGATGTTACCACTAGGAAATTTCCAGAATCCTTCGGTGCTACCTTCTTAATCACAAGCGAGGTGGTATACAACTGTCCGCTAGATTCTGTAGTGATCTTGATCCTGCCGCTAGATTTGAGCACGCGGTTTCCTTGGTACCATGTAATCTGTGGTGTGGGAGATGCCATAACCTTGCAAGTAAACTCTGCATCTTGCCCTTCTTCTATAGACATCGCTTTGGGCTTCTCAAAGAAGAAGGGAGCGACGTCTTCAGGCTCGGGTTCGCCTTCAGAGGACACTTCTTCCAGGTCCACAGGCTCCTCTGGAATAGACTCAACAGTCTCGCTGGTCACATCGGCAAACTCTGTTGGCTCAACTTCCGCTGATTCTTGTTCAAAGAGCTCCGGTTCTTCAAAGGGTTCCAGTTCTTCTACAGCCAACTCCTCCGGCATCTCCTCCAAGACAGCAGCCTCCACTGGCTCCTCCACAACTTCTGTAACTTCCTCCGTGGACGGGAGTTGGAGCTGCAAGTGTATCGTTTGTAGAAATCGATATTGTTCGAGCATTTCGCCTTCAAAGTTGAGCTGCAGCTCGGTCTGGTCCCCCACAGGCTGGAGGAGGATGGTGATTTCCGGTAAACCTCCGTCGATGAACAAAACTTGTTCCGTGACTTGTTTGATCAACGAGGCAAGCATGAATTCCACATCGAATTCTCTCAGGATGGACATTACCAAGTCAGACGTCAGCTCGACCTCCAGTTGTTTCTCTCTTGGCTCCAACTCTTCAACATACACCGCAAGCCGCCTGGAGATTCGGCTGATGTATATACGTGTCATCTTGAGGATAGTGATGAAGTCAAGCATTAGAGTGGTGAATGTAATTTCCCTGCGTTCAGTAATAGTGACGAGTTCTTCCTCCTCTTCAGGTTCTGGTTCTGGTTCTTTAAGTATCGGTTCCACGGCGAGTTTAGCCCGCATGGACTGTTCTCCGTGAGGGTTACTGACCGTGCATGTGTACCAACCTGCATCAGAAGGAACGGTGTCGCGTATAGACAGCACACAGACACCTGATGAGTTGTAGTCTACAGTGTAACGCTCTCCTTCCAGTTCTTGGTCTTCTCGGTACCACTTCAAAATGGGACGAGGTTCACCGACAACCTTGCAGTCGAACTCGGCTGTTTCCCCTTCGAGAGTGCTGCAGTTCTTGGGGACTTTGATAAACGCGGCAGGCTCTGTCTTTTCAACGGGTTCCGGCTCTTTAGGCTTTTCCTGCTTCACGGTTTTCAACTTTTTCTTGAAGTCTACTTTTTCCTTTTCCACCGTTATAAACTCGAGAGACATCATCGCTCTGGCCTCTCCGAACTCATTGGACACAGAAAGCAATAGATTTCCTGTATCCTTGGGCGCTACCTTCTTAATCATTAGATATGTGGTGTACAGTTGCCCGCTTGTCTCTGTGGAGATTTTCAGTCGGCCGCCAGTTTTGAGAACCCGGTTGCCTTGGTACCATTTAATCTCGGGTGTGGGAGAAGCCATAACCTTGCAGACAAACTCTACATCTTGCCCTTCCTCTACAGACATGGCTTTGGGCTTTTCAATAAAGAACGGTGCGACATCTTCAGGTTCAGCTCCTTGTGAGGACACCTCGTCGAAATCTACCTTCTCCTCTGGCAGAGCCTCCATCGTTTCAGTTGTCACATCGGCCCATTCTGCTGACTTCAGAGCAGCTGTTTTAAGCTTAACTCGCTCGGCAGATTCAAACTCTTCCGGTTCTTCAACAATCAATTCCTCAGGTACTTCCTCAAGTATTTCTGACTCAGAAATTCCCTCGATAAGTTCAATTTCTTGGTCTGGGGAAAAGAACCCGTCTTTTTGCATTGTTTTTGGCTCGTCGGGTTTCAAGTGCAGTGTGAGCTTGGCCCTCATGGACTGTTCTCCGTGAGCATTGGTTACAGTGCATGTGTACCAGCCTTGGTCCGAAGGAACGGTGTCATTGATGTGCAACACACAGACTCCGGATTGGTTGTAATCCACGGTGTAACGGTCTCCTTCCAGGTCTTGGTCATCTTTGGACCACTTCAGGGAAGGGCGTGGTTCGCCAACAACTTTGCAGTCAAACTCAGCAGTTTCGCCTTCCGGTGCTTCGCAGTTCTTGGGAACCTTGACGAATGCTGCAGGCTCGGCCTTCTCATATAATGGCTGGACTTCTATTTTCTCTTCTGTGACTTCTTCCTTTTCACTCTGGATACTCTGGATACTTTGCCGTCTACTTTCCGCTTTTGCCTTGAGTTGTTTTCTGAAGTCCACTTTTTCTTCCTGCACGGTGGTAACCTCGAGAGACAGCATAGCTCTTGCCTCTCCGTAATCATTTGATACTACCAACATTAGGTTGCCTGAATCTTTTGGAGCTATCTTTTTAATCATAAGACATGTTGTGTACAACTGCCCACTAGTTTCTGTAGTAATCTTTAGTCGGCCGCCTGTTTTGAGAACACGGTTACCTTGGTACCAGGTGACTTGGGGTGCAGGAGAAGCCATAACCTTACAGACAAACTCTACATCTTGGCCTTCTTCCACGGACGTCGCTTTGGGCTTCTCGATAAAGAAGGGAGAGACGTCTTCAGGTTCAGGCCCTTGGGATGAGACTTCGTCAAAATCTACCTGCTCTTCTGGAAGACCCTCCATCTTCTCTGTTGTCACATCAGCCCATTCTGCTGACTTCAGAGCAGCTGCCTTCAGTTTAACACGCTCGGCAGATTCGAACTCTTCTGGTTCTTCGATAACCAACTCTTCAGGTATCTCTTCAAGTATTTCTGCCTCACACAGTCCTTCTACTACCTCTGTGACTGTATCCTCTGAGGGAATGGGTTCGAGCTGTCCAGTTTGTGGTTTAACTTCGACAGGTTTGAGAATAAGGCTTAGCTTAGCCCGCATGGACTGTTCCCCATGGATGTTGCTGACCGTGCATGTGTACCAGCCCTGGTCAGAAGGAACGGTGTCACGGATGTACAACACACAGACTCCGGACGGGTTGTAGTCCACGGTGTAACGGTCTTCCTCCAGCTCTACGTCGTCTTTGAACCACCGTACATAGGGACGTGGCTCACCGACAACTTTGCAGTCAAACTCGGCTCTTTCTCCTTCTGGAGTTTCATAGTTCTTGGGAACTTTCACAAATGCAGCAGGTTCTGCCTTCTCTTCAGGCTTCTTTGACTCTTCTTCTCTGACCTCCTCTTTTACTATTTGTTCCTCCTGGATGCTCTGTTTTCTCTTTTCCTGTTTGACTGTCTTCAGTTGTTTTCTGAAGTCGACTGATTCCTCTTTTTTCACAGTTACGAGCTGAAGAGTCATCATAGCCCTGGCCTCTCCGTAGTCATTTGATACCACCAGTAACATATTTCCTGAATCTTTGGGCGCTACCTTTTTAATTATAAGTGTTGTGATGTACAGCTGACCACTAGTTTCTGTTGTAATCTTAAGACGACCTCCAGACTTCAAAACTCGGTTGCCTTGGTACCACGTAATCTGTGGTGTGGGAGATGCCATCACCTTGCAAGTAAACTCTACGTCTTGCCCTTCTTCCACTGACATTGCCTTGGGTTTCTCAAAGAAGAAGGGGGCAACGTCTTCAGGCTCAGGGCCTTGTGAGAGAACTTCGTCTAGATCTACATGTTCTTCTGGAAGTGAGTCCATGACCACGATGGACACATCGGCCCATTCCGCTGGTTTCACAGAAGCTGTTTTCACTTTTACTCGTTCGGCAGATTCAAATTCTTCTGGTTCTTCGACAACCAACTCTTCGGGTATTTCTTCTAGTATCTCTGCCTCTGACAAGCCTTCGACTACTTCTGTGATCGTGTCCTTCGCAGGAACATACAGCTGAAGTTGAGCGGCTTGGGGATGTACTTCTACAGGTTTCAGTATAAGGCTAAGTTTAGCCCGCATGGACTGTTCTCCGTGAGGGTTGCTGACCGTACATGTGTACCAGCCTGCGTCAGAAGGAACGGTGTCATTGATGTACAACACACAGACTCCGGACTGGTTGTAGTCCACGGTGTAACGGTCTTCCTCCAGCTCTACGTCGTCTTTGAACCACCTCACAAAAGGACGTGGCTCACCGACAACTTTGCAGTCAAACTCAGCTCTTTCTCCTTCTGGAGTTTCGTAGTTCTTAGGAACCTTCACGAACGCAGCAGGCTCGGCCTTCTCGCCAGGCATGACTTCTATTGTCTCTTCTGTGACTTCTTCATTTTCTTTTTCTTTCTGGATACTTTGCCTTCTACTTTCCGGTTTGACTGTCTTCAGTTGTTTCCTGAAGTCAACTGTTTCATCTTTTTTCACGGTTACGAGCTGAAGAGTCATCATTGCCCTGGCTTCTCCATAGTCATTTGATACTACCAGCAGCATATTTCCTGAATCTTTAGGTGCTACCTTCTTAATGATAAGTGATGTGATGTACAACTGCCCACTAGTTTCTGTGGTAACTTTCAGTCGTCCACCAGATTTGAGAACGCGGTTTCCTTGGTACCAGGTAATCTGTGGGGTGGGAGATGCCATCACCTTGCAGACAAACTCTACATCTTGTCCCTCCTCTACAGACATCGCTTTTGGTTTCTCAAAGAAGAACGGAGCAACGTCTTCAGGCTCAGGCCCTTGTGAGAGAACTTCGTCTAAGTCTGCTGGTTCCTCTGGGAGAGCCTCTATCGTTTCAGAGACCACGTCGGCAATTTCTAATGGTTGAACCAAGGCTGAGCTTTGTTTAACTTGTTCTGCAGATTCAAATGGCTTTGGTTCTTCTACAGCCAAGTCTTCTGGGATTTGTTCAAACATGGCAGCCTCAGACAGGCCTTCGAGTACAACTTGTACAGTATCCTTCGCGGTAAAAGGCTCGCGAAGTTTGCCAGTCTTAGGCTCCACTTCTACAGGTTTCAAATCAAGCGTGAGTTTAGCCCGCATGGACTGTTCCCCATGGATGTTGCTGACCGTGCATGTGTACCAGCCCGCGTCAGAAGGGACGGTGTCACGGATGTACAACACACAAACTCCGGACGGGTTGTAGTCCACGGTGTAACGGTCTTCTTCTAAATCTTGGTCATCTTTTGACCATTTTACGGAAGGCCGAGGGTCGCCGACGATTTTGCAGTCGAACATGGCGGTTTCCTCCTCAGGTACGTTGCAGTTTTTAGGGACTTTAACGAATGAAGCAGGCTCTCCCTTTTCGTCTGGTTTTACCTCTACCTTTTCTTCTTTGACTTCTTGTATCAGTTCCTGTTTGACTTCTACTAAAGGTTCCTGTTCGACTACCTCTTCTACCTTTTCCTCTTTGACTACCTTTTCCTGTTTCACTACCTTCTCCTGTTTGACAGCCTTGAGTTGCTTCCTAAAGTCCACCGTTTCTTCTCTTTTCACTGTTACCAACTGAAGAGAAATCATCGCTCTAGCCTCTCCGTAGTCATTTGATATTACCACCAATAAATTACCCGAATCTTTGGGCGCTACCTTCTTAATGATAAGAGACGTGGTATACAACTGTCCGCTTGTTTCTGTTGTGATTTTCAGTCTGCCGCCAGATTTGAGAACCCGGTTTCCCTGGTACCAGGTAATCTGTGGTGTGGGAGAAGCCATAACCTTACAGACAAACTCTACGTCTTGCCCCTCCTCTACAGTCATCGCTTTCGGTTTCTCGATAAAGAAGGGAGAGACATCCTCAGGCTCAGGTCCTTCTGAGGACACCTCGTCCAGATCCACAGGTTCCTCGGGTAGTGACTCTAGAGTTTCACTGGTCACGCCAGCTAATTCTATAGGCTGAACTACAGCTGATTCTTGTTCAACAAGCTCGGGTGGTTCGACTGGTTCTGGCTCCTCTACTACTGCCTCCTTCGAGACTTCTTCAGGTGCCTGTTTTGTCTCTTCAACGACTTCTTCAGCTACTTCTTCCTTTAGCGGAAGACGCAGCTGTATGTTTAAGATTGACTTGTGGGTTACTTCAGAGATTGCACCCTCGAAAGTCATCAGTAGCTGTGTCTGTGTCCGGAAGGGCTTCAGGATAATCGTTATTTCTGGAAGCCCGTTTTCAATGAATAGTAGTTGTTCTGCAAGCTGCATCACGACAATGAATAGGTATGCCTCAAGTTTGAATTCTTTAAGAATCGACATCAAAGTCTTCTGTGTCAGTTCTAACATCTTAAGATGTTTTTCTTTCACCGGCAACCCTTCAAAATGAACAGACACCTTCTTGTTTACTTTGCTGATGTAGATAATGATCTTACGTTTGATTATGTAGCGCTCCAGCATTATTGGCTGGAACTTTATCTTCCGCACGACCTCCTGTTCAACCTCAGGAGGAATCTCAGGAGTTGGCTCTTCCTCGACAGGCTTAAGTTCAACGGTTAGTTTGGCTCGCATGGTCTGCTCGCCAAGCTCGTTAGACACGGTTACCGAGTACCAGCCCGCGTCAGAAGCCGTCGCATCGCGAACGTACAAAACGCAAACGCCAGACGGGTTATAGTCAACAACGTAACGGTCACCCTGTACTTCTTGGTCATCTTTGCACCATTTTAGCGAGGGCCGAGGCTCCCCGGTGACTTTACAGTCAAACATGCCATTCTCTCCTTCTACTACTGTACAATTCTTGGGCACTTTGATAAAGGCTGCAGGTAGCTGTTTGGCTTTGGCTACTGGTTCTTCCTGCTTTGGTTTCTCTTTTACTGCTTTTAACGGGACCTTATAGTCTACTTTTTCCTCAACTACTGGCTCTGAAACAGATAGAAATGATAGATTACTGAAACTGCCAATAGAAAGTACCATCCTTTTAAAATCTATGCAAATCTATATTAAAATCTATGATAACATTCTATGAATACAAGGAATTTGCAATGCATTATCAAGAGGTCTTAACATCGAACTCACTTTGAACTTGAAGGGAAATCATGGCCTTGGCTTCCCCTGCTTGGTTTCTAACTTCGAGAACGTACTTTCCAGAATCCTTCGCTGCAGACTGCTGTATGCACAGAGTGATCACATACAGGTTCCCTTCGTTCGTGGTTGTTACTGTGAGGCGTCCGCCCGGTTTCACTGGCCGGTTACCGTGATACCACGTTATCTGCGAAGAAATTCAGAATAATGTATATGAAAAACCTACATTTACGAAGCACTAAAAACCATTGTGAAAGACTGGAAAAAAATCAGCATCTTGCAAACCGCAAATTAAGTAATAGACTGGGTGCCAGTCTGTTACCAGAGCCAGTATACTGGCTAGCTCTTCATCTCCAGGGCCAAAGAAATTTTACCACAGACACTCTTATACTCTGCTTCTCATGGTCTAACTGTGGACTGGCCTGTGTTTTGGCTCTGAGAACAGTCTGGCATCCAGGCTAGCTAAAACATAATGATAGCTACCTTTGGAGCGGGCGACGCCACAACTTCGCACAAAAACTCTGCATTTTGGCCTTCGTCAACCGTCAAAGGCTTCGGTTTGACCGTAAAGTAGGGCGGGATCATCTCGACTTCGGGTTCAACGCGGCGCTGAGTCTCCTGTTCCACTGCTGTAGGTTCACGCGTGGCGAACATGGACTGGAGAAACTGCGCTCCCTCGCGCAAGGCGCCTTCAAACGTCACCGTCATACGAGCGCCACCTGGAGACACCGGCTGGAGCAGCACGCTGACCTCGGGTAACCCGTCTTCGATGAAGAGCACCTGTTCAGCAACTTGTGTGATCAAGGCTGACACCATGTCGTCGATCTCAAACTCTTTCAGTATCGCGAAGACGACTTCAGACGACAGCGGGATTTCAAGCCGCTTTTCTTTGGTGGGTAGTTCGTCCACGTAAAATGTGACCGTTTTCTCCACTTTGCTGATTCGTATTTTTGTCTCGCGGAATATAGTAGTGTGTTCTATCATGACCGGTTTGAAGTGCACGCGTCTTTTCTTGATCTTTGGCACCTCCTCTTCGTGATAGAACCTCTGCAGGAACTCGGAACCAGCAGGAATGTCACCCTCATACGTTACCACTAACTGGACGTTCCGAGCTCCGAAAGGTTGTAGGAGGACACTGACCTCAGGAAGACCCCCGTCTACCAACAGGGTCTGTTCCACACAGTGTGTGATGACAGAAGCAAGGCCGTCCTCCACTTTGAATTCCTGCAAGATTCCCTTCACGGTTTCTGCGGACAGCGGGACTTCCATTTGCCGTGCGACGGGTGGAAGTTTCTCCACGTGCATGGTGACCGTCCTGTTGGCTTTGTGGACAGAAATGCGCGTCTCTCTCGAGATGGACGCTTCCTCCAGCACGACCGGGTGAAATCGCACCCTCTTCTCTTTCTTCTTCGGTTCGGCGGTGGATTTTAAATGGATCGTGATTTCAGGAGAAGTCTTCATATCAGGATCAGCGTCTAAGACCTGAGCTATCGCGTCGGAAACGGCCGAACAGATCTCATCTGGTTCTCCCTCAGATGATAGCCGAGCGCCTACAGTTTCAGGCTCCACAATGAATATCTTAAAGCTCTTTGGCATCTGCCCTGGCCGCACTATTGTGATCATTTTTGTTTGCCTGTTGACTCGTATAGTGAGAAGCTGAACGTTTTCGTCAACTTCTTCTCTCTCAAGTTTCTGTGCTTCTTCTAGTGTTATACTACTCACTACTCTTGCTGGTTTCGGTTTCAGATGAAAGGTAACTTCAGAAGTGTTCGGATCTCTAGCAACTGCCTTGTTGAACGTCTGTGCGACAGCTTCTGCGATCTCTGGTCTCTCCCCGAAAGCAAGAAGACTTTTGATGATGTTTTCTGCGTTCACGACGGCGCCAATCTTCACCCAGTGTTCCTGACCACCTCGCAGGACTATAAGAGTGTTAACTCGCCTGTTGACTTTGATGGTGGTCTCCTGCTGCAGTTTTGCCTCTAGTGGTGAGGCTTGCAAGCGGAGGCGGAGCGGCTCTCTCCTCTCGGATGCCCGCACCTTCAGCTTCAAGTTAAACTTGACCTTCTTCGCGTTGGGGTCTTTTGCGACCGCCTTGTCGTAGGTCTGGGCTATAGTAGAAGCTACTTCTTCCCTCTCACCTGCAGCTATTAGTATGGTTCTGATTATTTCAGATGAGAGTTCTCCCTGTATCGGGAAGGTTTTCTCGGTCCCGTTTTTGACAAGCGTCATCATTTTGGTTTGTCGATTGATTGTGATGACTGCTGTTAGCTCTGAGACTGTTGCTTCTGCCGGGGACGGAGCGAGCTCTAAACGCAATGGCTTTAAGGTTGCTGGCTGCTGGACGCGCGGCTTGACGTTAAACACGATTTCAGTCGCCCTGGTCTGGCTGGCAACGATTTTAGCGAAGGTTTGGGAAACAGCCGAAGCCACCTCCGGCCTCTCGCCAGCCTCTAGCAGAGCGTTTCTCATGTTCTCAGCGGTCAGCTCCCCTTGGACGGTGAACCGCTGTTCTTGCCCGTTTCTGGTGATGATCACCAATTTTGTCTCCCTGTTAACCTTAACCGTGGCTTCGACAGACGGAACTGGTTGGATGACCTGGCGCTGGACCTGTCTGTGCTTGAGATGGAATGTGATCTCAGTTTCCGCAGCACCGGTGGCGACGGCTCTCGCGTAGGTCTCAAGAATGGCCTCTGCGAGGTCCCTCCTCTCTCCGACTGCCTTCAGCGCGTTTTCTACGTTCTCCTGCGTAAATTCGCCGTGAACCTGCAGGATTCTCTCATTGCCGTCGTGAAAGATCATGACCATCCCTGTTGGTCTGTTGACTCTGATGGTTAGAGTTGCAGCTTCTTCGGTTGACACAGGGCGTCGAGCGGTTGTGTCTCCTTCCGACACTACCTGCGGTTTCAGGCGAATAGTGATCTCTTCCGTACTGGTGTCAGCCATCATGGTCTTTGCAGCGACCTGTGCGATGGACAAAGCGACTTCCGGTCGCTCCCCAGCCGCTTCTAGGGCGCGCTGGATGGTTTCTGTAGTCAACTCGGCGTTCACGTTGATAATTTTTGGCGCACGAGACTGGCGATACACCGTGATGGTCCTCGCCCTTCTGTTCAGCTTGATGGAAGCGGTCTGTTCGGTTACAGTCTGCTGTAGATGCTCGGCGTCTGTTTCTAGCCTAACCGGACCAACTCGCTGCTGCTCCTCGGCTTTAGCAGGTTGAGCGTGAAGACGGATGGAGATCTCATTGGGCCTGTCGGCGCCGTAGTCGGGTGACATTACCCGCATCACCACCTGCGCAATCCCGGCCGCGACTTCGCGACGTTCACCGATCGCAAGGAAGGCCTTAATCACGCTTTCCATGCTGATATCTGCGCCTAACTTTACCTGTTCCGACTCTCCGTTTTGTCGGATTATGGTCACGACTCTTGTGAGTCGGTTTACTCTAACGATAGAGGGTGGTTCTCGCGTTGGTTTTTCCTTCTTTAGCTTAGCTGGGAGGATTTCTGGATGCTCATCAGGAATGATCTTCACTTCGGACTCCAGCGTTTCTTCCCCGCCTTCTTCTGTAAAGAACCGGAGAACTCCCGGCCGTGTACGAAACTCCGCGCTGGTGAACGCCCTAACGATGGACTGCCCTACAGCTGAAGCGACCTCTTGTGGCGCTCCCGCTAACTGCAGCTGGGCGGCGACGTCCTCTGCAGTCAGCTTCCCATCGATTTTGATCACCTGTGGCTCCTGTCCTTCCCTGTGGATTTTCAGGATATCCTCTTCCCTGTGAATTTCAAAACTTTCAGGCGTTTCTCCCTCTTGTTTGGGCTCGACGTGAATGCGTATTTTCTTTCCAGGCTCCCCTATGCGAAGTCCAATCTTGACTTCTTTGGTTTCGGTTTCATGTACTTCTTCTGCCTGTGTCCTGGTTGCTTCAATTTGCACAGGCACAACGGAGTCCTCACCGTCGCCTTCATAGCCGCTGTCTGAAACTATAGACGACCGTCTCGGCACGCCTTCCAGCAGCCCCACTCGCATCTGCTCCCGCTCTAACTGGTGCTGAAGCTCGCCTGGAGCAAAATGGACTCTAGGATGAGAAGACGGTGACTCTTCTCCCTCCTCTGCCTTTCTTTCCTTCACTAATATTCCGGAGAGAACGTCTTCCTGCAGCTTTACCTGAGGTTCCTCCGGTTGCTTTGGTTCGTCTGGTGCTACCTCTACTACTTTGTCCTCGAAGGAGACTTCCTCTGCTAGTTTTGTCTCTTGCTCTGTGATCAAGCCAGCTGTTTCTGTTGTTAGGATCTCTTGAGCAATGACTTTTTCATCTGCGACTGGCATTTCGAAAATTGGCGAGGCGGGTTCTTCTGTTTGTTGGGTAACTAGAAAACCAAAACAGAATTCGTACAATTTATGGGTTGGCTTTACTTGAAATGTACCCCTGTAATTTGCAGTGTCATTATATGTGGCACAAAAAGGCAGCAATGTGAGGAAAATTTGCGATTACAATCACCGCTCAATAAATAACAGCGAAATAGATAAGCAACATGCTTACATTAACTAGTTTTTATTCATTTAACTTTATTCATATCCTTCCGGCAAAAGAAGCATAAAGCTTGGACTTGATGCTCGCGCTGTGGAGTCAGCAAACAACATGCTCACCAGTTTTTATTCCTTTAACTTCATACATCTTTCTGTTCTGTTCTGTTCCAAGAAAAAAAGCATAAAGCATGGACTGGTGGTGATGCTCGCGCTGTGGAAGTAAAACTAACCTCTATCGACAATCAGATCAGCGTAGCACATAGCCTGGCCGGCTTCACTAACAGCCCTGCAGATGTACTCCTCCTCATCCTCCGGCCGCACGTTAGGGATCACCAGGCTGCTGCTCCCGTCGTTACTGTACTCTATAGTAAACCTTCCTCCAGGCTCGATCTCCACATCGTCCTTGTACCAGATCAGCTGCGGCTTGGGTCGTCCCACCGCCCGACGGGTGAAGCGTGCCGTCCCGCCAACTTCTACCCGCACGATCTCGTCGATGATTTCGCCGACGAACTTGGGCGGTGCGAACTCTGGTTCGGCGGCGGTTTCGTCTTTCCCCGGCTCAGTGGGAGATTCGGGTGGGAATTCTACGATCATCTCTTGCTTTGTGATCCGTTTCTGTTCGAGTTTGGTCTTGAGCTTCTCGCCACGGCTTTCCTCTGATTGTGGAGGAAAGAAATCCTTCTTGAGAACTTTTTTTTTAATCTCTCATGCGAAAATTGCAGGAAAGAAGACGACGACAGCATGCGGCATGCATTGCTCTGCAGTACTTCGCATTCGCTGCCATGCATAACAAGATAACGCGCTGCACATGCGGCAACTTTCCAAAGCCTAGATATGTGGTTGCAGGTTTGAACAATGTTTGCAATTAAATACAGTGCGTGCAAGTAGATGTACTGAGCATAGCAGCTTCCTGCATACAAAAAGCACTTGTTTTTACCACAAGTTTCTGTATACAAGCAAGACATTCAGTTGAACCGGAGTACATATGGGTAGCCATTGCCACGATGCTTTAGCAAGCAAACAAGCAATTCGTTCAGAAAAAGGTTACAAACTAAGAAGAAACGACAATTTCGTATCTAGAACTGTGCGTATCTAGTTCTATGCCTGAATGGGTTAGGTCTTAAGATCAGTCACGGTTCTGGATAGTCTCCGCGTATCCAAGAACATAGATTTTCCTCAGGCACGGTTCTGGATAACCGCGGACTATCCAGAACCGTGTCTGAGCACGGTTCTGGATAAAGCACGGTTCTGGATAATCTCCGCATATCCAAGAATGTAGATTTGTCCCAGGCACAGTTCTGGATACACGTGGACCATCCCGAAGCATAGTTCTGGATAAAGCACGGTTCTAGATACAACAAAGAGGCAGGTAAATTATATATTATCTATCTACCTGAGAAGTAGATGTCTGCGGTGCAGAAGGCACTTCCCGCCGAGTTGACGGCCGTGCAGGTGTACTCAGCCTCGTCCTTCTCTGTGACGTCACGGATGGTGAGCGACGTCACCCCCGCGTCAGACCGCACGATGACGTAGCGATCGCTCGGCTCGATTTTCGCGCCATCCCTGAACCAGGCAACCTCCGGGGTTGGGTTTCCCGCGACCCTACACTGGAACAAGGCGGGCTCTCCCGGAACTACTATGAAATCTTCAATAGTCTGGAGGAATGAAGGAGCAGATGGGACTGTCTCGTCTTCCTCTGGACCTTCCTCGGCCGAGAGGAAGTCTTCAGGAGCAGGGCTCTCAACCGATGCCCCGGAAAACGTCCGTTCTTTGTCAAGTGGGAACTCGACTAGAGGTGACTTGGCTCGTTTCAAGTCTAACCCTTCGCCTACAGTCAACTCTGTCAGGGTCTCAGTGGGTGCAGCTTTTTCTTCCACCCTGAGTTCAGCTTTGCTTTCGTCCCTGGCGTCTACTGTTTCCCCATGAACCTCAAAGGCAGCCTGGCGAAGCTCTTCAACCATGGAAGTGTCCTTTTCTACTGTTACAGGCTCCTCTTGTATTGTGGGAATGTCTTTTTGTTCTTCCTCCACTGCAGGAGGTTCTTCGACAACTTCTGGTTTGTCTAGAGTACAGGAGTCACTTGTTACAACTACATTCAAGACCCCCACAACACACAGAGTGAAAATCTAAGATACATTAAGTGTTCCTTTAGTAGCAGACAAAATCAGGTGCGTCAAGAACATACTAAGATAATTTCTTCCTCACTCTATCAAAACTTAACAAAGTAACTTAAAAAAAAAGACACATTTATCTACAAACCAAAAAGTCTATATTGAAAGTAAAAAATAACACTGTACTGATATATACTGGCAAGTTGTTGCATACATGTCAAGGTTACATTTATTAATATATGACAAAATTTGTTCTACAAGTGGTGTTAGTAACTGATACAAGTCATCCTTCTGGACTATGCTAGAGCTGAAAGCATTACTTGTGGTTTATTAACTTGCTACAAAACAATGAGGTACATATCAAAGGTTAAAATACAAAATATTTATAAGTTGCCTCCAAATGCCCGTATGTGTTAATACTGCCATGGCCCATGCACAGCTATCTACAGTCCTCATTGTGTCCATGTTTGTTGGTTAGTTAGTTAAGTATATGAATACTATAGGTTTTGCTCATTTGCATATTTGGGACAGTATCATGTTACCATCTGTTAGTATGGAGTCCTACAGTTAGTCAGCATGCGTCACAGTGCTGAAATGTCTGTACCTTCCACCATGAGTTTGGCACAGCATGACTGCTCCCCGTGTTGGTTGGACACCACACACTTGTACCACCCTGCATCTGCCATTGTGATAGCGTCTATGTGTAAAGTACACATCCCTGAGTCCGTGATTTCAACTCTAAACCTCTCGTCCTGGGGTAGAGCTGCATCATTCCGGAACCAGGCCAGGTTCGGTTGTGGTTCTCCGATGTATTTACATTCAAACTTCCCAGAATTTCCTGCATAGACTGTGAGGTTTTTCGGCACTTTGACGAAGGCAGCGGGGACTTCTTGAGGTATTTCTGGTTCTGGTGGCTTTTCCTCGACTTTTTTAGTCTTCAGTTTAGCCCTGAAGTCTGGTGCTTCCTCTTTCTTTGGCCCTGTACATAAAATATTATGCAAGGCAGAAAGTTGTGGATGAATGATAATTGATGCACAACAAATTGATGCACAACACTGCCTTCGTAATGCTAAAACTCTTCAATGTTTAAGTTAAAGAAATAATGACCAAAAGGTGTAAAATGTTTGAAAGCACCCTTGGAACCAAGATATGTTGTAATGTATCAACTACATAACATTTACATGAAATGAATGTTTGAGTAAGAGCTGGTATACCTTGGAGAAGATTAGACATCCAGGTAATGAGATACAGAAGAAAACTAAAACTCAAGCAACTGTGGATAGATTTTGAAAACCTATCAAAACCTATTATGAAAACCTATTAAAATCTACACAGTGACAGTTTTCGTTTAAGATCTGTTATGTATTCCATTGTGTATTTTCTACATAAAGTTGGTTTGGTTTTTCTTTTAATGCCTTGTGCTTGGGAAAGCCACTTTACACAACTTTCCTCACTTTGCTCAGATGTTAATGAGTATGCCATAATGAGGAAAGTTGCGTAAAGTGGCTTTCCCAAGAGCACAAGTTTGGTGACATGCAGAATTCGAACCCGGGACCTCTTGGTCCTGAGCTGAATGTTCTGCCATTACGCCACACGACCCCACGAGTAAAGTTTTCCTTACGTTCGACCGTGAGAGAAACCATGGCCTTCGCCTCTCCAACTGAGTTGCTGAGGGTGATGATGTAACTCCCAGCATCCTTTGGGTTGGTCTGTCTGATGGTGAAGGTCACCACGTAATGGTGGACGTCTGCTTCGATCTCCACAGAGAAGCGACCTGTCACCTTTACTGTTTTGTTTCCATGGTACCAAGTAACCTACAAGGGAACAATCACCAAAGAAATGTTTAGTAAAAGTCTAGTCTAAATTAGCAAGTACACAAGCGATTCCTGAATGTTTTTCGTGGCTTTCCTAAGCAGTGGACCACCTACTCCAATAACTTAAGCCTTTGTGACAAAGATATTGTTCTGTATAACTGCAGCAAAGGCAGACCATTCCAATAAAAAATGTCAAAGATATGAGTGACATCGCTCACTCTTCTTCAGTGTCACCAAAATGTACTGACAGAACTAGCCAACACTTCTACATGAGGAACTGGAATACCAGTTGACCATGACAAAGACTCTTGTCAGGGATATGTAAGTCAAGTTTAGATAGTTCCTATGCTAAGACAACTGATACTGTCCCTCATTTAGGTTCATATAAAGAACTGGAAAACTGGTTGGAAATAACAAGGACAAGTAAGAAATAGTAAGTTCCTATATGGTTAGACAACACCATAGGAACTGCTACTGTTGGTTCCCTGTAGAGCATGACAAAGACTCTTTTCTAGTGAGATGTAAGTCAAGTTTAGATATTTCCTACACCAAGACAACTGCTACAGTAACTGTCCCTTGTAATACCTACCTCAGGAGAAGGAGCAGCTACCAGCTTGCAGACAAACTTCACGTCTTGTCCCTCCTCCACTTTCTGTGAGGTTGGCTTTTGTGTGAAGTATGGAGGAATGCCCTCTGGCTCCTCTGGCTCCTCCGGCTCTGAAGCCTCGCCGTCAACTAAGTCAGCTGGAAGGAGCAAGAGTATGTTTTCTTCAACGTGCGGGTTTCATGTTAATGAAGAAAATTGTGACAGAGATCATGCTGTTTTCGTTGAAGTTGTGGTGGTGCATTAAATTTTCTTCCCAGTGCATTTATACATGTACATATTAAGTGTACGGGTGCAGGGAAATGTGGCATGCTTTAGTGACAACTACAGATGAATCCAAGTATGGTGTGCAAGAAACAAAGCACTAGGAGAAGAGAAAGCGTTGACATTGCATGGTGCATTTGTGGGATAAGTTGTAAAGACGACAGTAAGTTTTTGCAATACTATGTTCTACACAATGTTAGGCCACACCAATTTAATTCCTTGTTTCTCAGAGTTTAACATGACTGATATTCACTCACACTGTTTGATTTTCTACATTTTTTACAGTTATTGAGAATGAAACAGCAAACTAAATTGGCGTGGCCTAAAAGTTGGAAACGTGAAGACAGTAACAGAACTTTTCGTGCAGCAATGAAATGCAGATGACTGATGATGATCACTCACCTCTTGAACTGTTTTATTTCGCAAATATGTCTCAGGAGAAAAAGATAATGGAGGGGGAAAGAGCGATGCGCACAAGGGGATGCAGAAATACATGTAGCTTCATGGAGCGGGTATATACACTTGTACATACACTTCACATAACAATGGGTAACAATAGGAATATTTGGGAGCAATGGTTACTATTCTACACTGTATGTGTGACAGTACAGTGTGTTGGTGTGATGTGTAGGAGGACTGAAATAAAGAGAATTAATGTGGAGTTTGGTCGAAATGTGTACAGTAATTGTGCATATTATGTATACAATGTATGTCATAAACAATGGAAAACATGTACAGTCAATGTGCAATGTACACATTATATATAAATGGAAAACAGTGTAATACAACAAGCTCTAAAAAGCTCTGTGTGAAGATATAATCACAATCAATGGATAACAATGACTGTCAAACAAGACATCAGCTTATGATGTATATTGAAGATACAGTGAAGAACAATCAAATGTGCTACATGTGCTAACTGTTCATAGCAGACAAAACAACAAGTAATAATACACTTCTACATTCTGAAAGTTTGAGGTGAAAGATACATGTTTAAACTGCTAGCTTTTCACAAATGTGTTTCGGATGAATGTTTTATATTTCTGTGAAGATGACTTACATGTGATGACTTCTTCGATAGGTTCCAGCGGTTCTGGTGGTGGGATTTCTGTGTAAAACAAAACAATGAAGACCATTAAGACTCTACAGCATTAAAGTGTCTTCAGATAATGAGAAGGAGCATTGGTGGGATGGCTGTCAGTGAATCCATGAGATCTGTGAACACTGGTAGATATGAAATTGCACACATCTGGGTAATATATGTTATACAGGAATCAACATGGTTAAGGTATAACAGTACAGCTGCATTATGTTAACCCAAGATATAGAATAAGTGTTATGGGCATGGTTGCAAAGTTTAAGAAAATTTGTAAAGTTTCTGAGAATTCCATGCAACATATAAAAGCACTTGTAACATGATCAAGGAGCCCATTTCACTCCACAACTTTTGTGGCTTCAATGGTTTTACTTCCAAAATGGTGGCACCAAAACATACATGTAAGATATGTGGTTACTGTAGTAGAATATATATAAAAAACATGCACAGGAAACACATGCAGTCATGTTTGCAATGCAAAAAACCTTGCACATCTCTCTGAAGGATTCAGAAGAAAAGCCCGAAGAACTGTCTCCGGTCTCCATGGAAACTCCGTCTCCATAGCAACAGCCTCTGAAGATACCTGCTCAGCTTATTTCTAAATTTCTAATTTCTCCATATTGCTTTTGACTTATCCAGGATAAGAACCAGTTGGCTTGCCTGATTATGAGAACACAGTCTGTTGTATCCAAAACTGTGCTTTATCCAGAACAGTGCTCAGGAAGAGTTCTGGATAGTCCACACATATCCAGAACTGTGTCTGAAGCAAACCTACATTCTTGGATACACAGACTATCCAGAACCATGCCTGATCATCATCCAAACCCATTCAGGCCTTAGAACTAGATAAGCACGGTTCTGGATATGATAGGCAAACACTGTCAGGTACAATGAAGAAATGTGGGTAACACACAGAAGGACGGGTTCCCATGCAGGGGAAGATGTTTTATTCTACAATTTTCTCTTCAAACATAACAAATGCCATTGTGAAAATCAACCCATCAAGTCTGTATTTAATTTGCTAGAACATGAGAAACCTTTTTACTGAAAATCATCTCAAAGTTTACAGCTAAGCAAACAATGTCCTACTGCGGTCGTTACATCAACATATGGTCGTACAAATGAATATATATTATTAATGATACATTTATGTTTTGTAGTACTTTGATAATGTAGACAGATATCTGAAGAGCTTACACAACAAAGTTAACAATTTCAGGCAGTCTGTCACAACTCACAATGACTGGAAAACTAAAACAGTCAACCCTTTTGACAGCTTAATTGTCTTAAGATCCAAGCTCTATACTTTAAGCTTAAAGTACAGCAATTCACTCTTTGTGGCACTCTTTGTGTGTTGATAGCACTTGCTAAGTGTAAACACAAGAAGAATACCATGCCTATTTATACCTGTATTATATCAAGCTGTATAACCACCATTTGGCATACCACACCAGCTTCACAGGCACATATATAGCGTGGGGGAAGCTGGCTACATTACACCAAACAACCTGTTAGACAATACACCTCTAACTGCAGAAGTTGCTTAAAGCTATCTACAGTACACAACTGTACTTGGTGGCAGCAGTTTTTTTCTACAATAGTTCTAACACTGTTCACTTTATCTAAGGCCACACCAATTTAACTTCTTGGTTAACGGATTTTTCTACAAAAATAATGGAGCGGGCGGGCGATAAAGAAATAAAAATAAAAACAGGCCTAGGCATCGTATTATGACCCAAAATGGCATGATAGGAGCCATGAAGTCAACACACCAGGCTGGTTCAAAATCTAAACAGTGAATTTTGAACTTTTAATGATACCATTGCATTCAAGATGGAATAACCGTAACAACTAGGATGAAAAGGACTGTTTTCAACTGTTCAGGGCAAAATATGAGCATTTTGCAGTTTATTTTGAATTTTTATTTTCATTTGCAAATCAGAAAAAAATGAAGCGGCCGAATCCGTTAACCAAGAAATAAAATTGGTGTGGCCTAAGCAGATATTGGTAGTTCTAAGTGCGTCTACCTTTCACAGTAAGCCTAGCCTTGCTCACAGCCTCTCCTGAGAAGTTAACAGCCTTGCAGGTATAGATGCCCTGGTCCTTCTGAGTCACATGCAGTATGGTCAGCCTGACTACCTCGTCATAGTAGATAGCCTTGTGTCTTTTACTCTCAGGCAACTTCTCATCGTTAAACAGCCAGGTGATATCAGGCTGGGGGTTGCCCATAACTTCACCGTTAAAATTCACTTTGCTGCCTTCTGAGACTAAACAGCTGTCTATGTCCTGTATAAACACAGGCGGTTTGATAGAAGGCTGCCTTGGTGGCATCGCAGGACGGTTGAGTTTTGGAGCAAGTTTGGGCGACTCCTGGATGGTCTCAAGCGTTGGCGTCATGGTGTACTCGTAAGAGCTGTCTACGCCGCTGGATTCCTCGGAAATCTTGGCCAGCTCCTCGGTGACTGCAGCTTGCTTGATGAGTTTTGGAGCACGGGGAAGCTTTGATGGCAGCCTGGAAGCCTGCTTCTCCATCTGTTGCTTGAAGTCTGATTTGGAAGAAGGCGGTTCGGGAGCACCTGGGTGGAAGTCTGCAGGCTGTTTTTCTGGTTTCTTTTCTGTGGTTTGAGAAACTGGTTCGGCTGGTTTGGGTTTTGGTCGTGGTTTGCTGTTTCCCTCATCATCAGAGACATCAGAGTCAACTAGAGAAGTGCAAACATTACAGTTTACACGATCTATAGAGCTATAGCAGGATTTTATAACACTAAACGGCATAAGGATCAACCCTTTTCTAAAAAGGACAAATTCAAGACTTAGCAAGTCAACTTTTGCACAACCAAACTAATTGTGCATATAATGATAGTTGCTTTGAAAATCTGCTCCCTGCTGCCTAACTCCATAACCAATGCAAATTTGGTTCCAAATGGCTACATTAGCAGGCTGAAGGTTAATGGTCCTGTCCCTAGTGCTGAAACCATGGTTGTCATTAACCTTCTCCCTGCTGTCCAAACCCATATCCCATGCAAATTTGGTGCCAAGTGGCTACCTTTACATGATGAAGGTTAAGAGAGAAACTCACTTTCCAAATCCACCTTGAAGACTGCTTGACCTGCTGTGTTGATAGCCTTGCACACCCAGATGGCATCATCATCCAAAGACACTTTGTGTATCTCCAGCACACTTTTCCCCTCCTCCTGGCTTATGGAGACCCTCTTCTGTGTCTCCACTAACCGCCCGGATTTAAACCAACACATTTCAGGCTCCGGGCTCCCCCCACATTCAGCCTCAATGCGGATAGACTTTCCTTCCTTGATTTTCACTTTCTTCGGTTTGGTTGAGAAGCAGGGAGCGACAGGGCTGTCCCCCCGTTTCTTCTTCTTCTCCTTCTTCTCGAAGGATCTGGTTTTCTTGACCTTCTTGGGTTTAACTGTTTCCTGTTCTTCCGAGACGTCCTTCTTGCTTACGTCTTGGCTTATGACGATCCCTGGTATGTCTGGAGAAGCTTCTTGGACACCTTCCATCGGTGAAGCTGTTTCTGACCGACCTTCCTCTACCAACTGATCATCTGTCATGGAGTCTGTGACGGAGATCGACCTATCGGAGAGTAAAGGCTGCCTGTCTGAACCTACACTCTCTGCGTCTTCACTTTCACCAAGGATTTCCAAGTTCTCACTCCCTGCAGCTAACTGTTGCCCCTCCCCTTCTGTCTGAACATGCTGTGGTGTTAACTCTTCTTCAGTATGTAAAACCTGTTTGTTATCCTCTGTCTGAGTGATAACTATAGTTTGAGAGTCCCTGTCCACATGCATGTCAACACGTTCTTGCTCAACAGGAACATTGGGAGTGAGCGAATGTGGGGGAACGTCTGGAACTTGTAGCTTCATCTCAAACGTAATCTCTACTTTCTCGATATCTGCCACCAGTGCCTCCGTCACATATCGACCGAGTACGGTCGCAACCTCTGGAGTTTCTCCATGTTGCTCTAGCTGCTTGACAATGTTCTGTGTTGTCATCTGCCCCTCTATATGCACAATGGTGGCTTCACCGCCCCGTGCAAGCGTAATGCTCTTTGTCTCTCTGTTCACAGTCACAGAAATCTGGACTTCCTTTAATCCATCACTTTTATCTCCTAGTTCTTGGCTGGCCAATTTGTACTCTTGTAGTCCACTGGTTTGCAGTGTTTCACAAACTATTTTGGCAGTTTTGCCACCGAGTGGCTGCATTCCTTGTGTTTCCGTGAACGGCCCACTGTCATCCCCAACTGTGTGTGCTACACCATCTACACCCGACTTTTCTGGCAAAGGAGAAGAAGGGAGGAAAGATACGGTCAGGAACGAAGAGGACGAGGAGGAAAAGAGCAGATAATACAGAAAGCATGGAATGAGTTACTTTACAGAAGTGAGGAGAGAACAGGAGAAAATGTGCAAAAGATGTGGAAATTGACAGATGTACCTTCAGGTGGTCGTGAGAAAAATGCAGGAAAATCGTGGTGAAAATTTGTCCATCACTGTGACTGATGATTCTCGTGAAGATGGTGTGAGAAAAACGTGGTGGCTCTGGCTAGGAAGTGTACATGTTAGTGTGGTGGTACGTGAATGGTCAATGAAAGAAGCAGAAAGTGCCATGCCACTGAGGGAGAGAGGCCATGGACTGTACATTAGGCAACACCAGATGATAGATGTTTAAGGAAATTATTGTATCCAGAACCTTGCCTATCTAGTTCTATGCCTAAACGGTTTAGGACAAGGCACGGTTCTGGATAGTCTCCGCGTATCCAAGAACACAGATTTGCCCTAGGCGTGGTTCTGGATACACATGGACTATCCTGAACCATGCTTGATTTCTAGATAAAGCACAGTTCTGGAGACAACAGAGACAGCAGAAATGACTAAAACATGCAGAAAATACAGTCCTCACTTTGGGTATTTTTCCGGTAGACTCTTTCCTCCCTCCTTCTCATAAGCATGGCAATTTCAGCTCCACAGTTTGTAACAACAATGACACACACATGAAGCCAGAGCCATTGCAACATTGTAGCAAAATCTGTGACGTTTTTATTCATTCATACCTGAGGTCACATACACCCAATGGTAAATGTAAAAAATACTGCTCAATGGTAAACAACCAATTTAAAGCATATCATAATATAGCCAAAATCACTACAAACATTGGTGCATAGAACACTTTAAACATACACAGCAGTTGTATTATATATAATAATATTGCTGGTTGCATTATACATACATAATTACAGAATACTAATATGGTATAAAACTTATGGCTTTAAGGAAAACTGAATACTTTAATACTGATGATTTTTAAAAATCAAAACATAAACTACACTCATGGCGGTATTAAAAACTCAATACTGCTTAAAACCTAGTAAAAATATTAAGTGTGCTGCCTTTAACCTCTGTAAAACTTGCACATTGATGTCTTAAATATGGGTGTACAGAATGTGCAAAAAGGAAGAAAAAGAAGCAAAATGGTGCATATTTTAGTCCTTTCTCAGGTCCCTTTGCTTGTATTTTGTGCTACTGCCGATCTACATTTTTCTACAGTTCTTTGCTTCATATTTTGTTCAATTTTACTCCTTTTCATTCCTTTTTGTACTTTCTATACACCGCTTAAGAAACACTGGCTTAAGCTTGTAGATATCTGCTAGTCTAGCGTAACAGTCCGTTGTCACCTCTTGGCACCCTGTACATCCAAGTAAGCCTGACACACCGTCTCCCCAGACGCGTTCACCGCGTGACACGTGTAACAACCGTGGTCCCCCATTCGCACGTTCATTATCACCATGGTAACCAGGACCGTCCTGTCGTCCACACAACTCTCCTCGAAGGTCACGTTCCCGCACTCCTTGACCTCAAGGTCGTCCCGGTACCACGTGACCTTGGGTAAGGGCACGCCGGCGACTTTGCACTGGAAGTAAACAGTGTGCCCCTCCATTGTGATAATGTTCCGACATGGCCGAAGGATTTCGGGTGCGACTCCTCTGTCTTCTCTCTCTGTTTTGTGGGATGCTGAGTGATGGGTATGAAATGAAGAATGTTGTGATTTTTTTGGCTTTTTTTGTCAAAATGTTTCATTGTTAAGAATTTTCAATTTTTGTTAACATGCGGGTTAACCAATTTTTCCTAATGTTTACACTAAATCAAAAACGCAAAAACTTTTTACTTTCAGAAAAACTCTGATTGGTCTTCAAATCACATGAATATTTCATCTAAGAACTCATGGTATTACCAAATCTTCCAAAGTACACATTTTTTTTCTTCTAATTTTAAACAAATTAAAGGTATGATTACTTGTAAAGCATTGTCAGTAGCAACTACGAAAGTGTTTTAGTCTGATAAATGAAGCCGAGAGTTCAGAAAACAGGAGAGAAAAGACAGGAACTACCGAGGAAAGAACTGCAGACGACAAGACAGGTCTTTAGGTTCTAAGGAGCACCGTTAAGTCTAAGAAAGCACCGTTAATTCTATAGAGGAGGCACCATTATAGACAAAGAAAGATGTTACTTGGTGGAGCTTAAAGAAACAGAACAATCCAGCAAGAGATCTCTACAAGAGATGTTAAGAAATCACTGCAATTAAACCGAAGATGGCTTTTCCACACTTGATGCATTTTTCTTCTTCCATACTATGATTTTTTTCTCTACCTTAGTGTTAGCATTATCTCTAAGCAGATTTAACACATAGCTTGCTGGTCTAAGACAACCACTCTTCCCTATAGCTGCCAGAAAAACCATCTAGAGTATCATTAGCAGCACGTCAGCAGAATGTACTGCACCTGCGCGAAACCCTGATTTTTCACAGTTTTTGTTGGTCACTGTTGCATCAAAATTTTGCCTGTTGCAGAGGATATCTTTTCCAACACAACATTTAGGAATCAACAGACTGGATGTTAACCTTATATGTGCAAATACAGCCTTATATGAGAGGTCCTGCTTAAGTGCTATGCATAATACATTACAGGTTTCGCGCAGGTGCAGTATGTTCTGCTGACGTGCTATCATCAGCCTAATGCTACACAAGAGTTACTACTTCTTAATACCTTTTACGAGAAGCTGGGCAGTGCAGGCAGCTTGTCCATAGTCGTTGTTCAGCTGGCACGTGTAGTCTCCCCCGTCTGACGGTTGTACCTGGCTGATCACGATGCTCGCTGTTTTCTTTGACTCGTCGAAGAGGACTTTTCTGCGTTGGTCTGACTGGATTTCTGTCCCCATGTGTAGCCAGGTTACCTTCGGTAGCGGCGAGCCGGTTACAGCTGCGTCAAACCGCGCTGGCTCTCCGTCTGCGACAGCTACGCTGCTTGGGAACTTGGCAAAGTTCGGCGATTCACCGGTCACGAGCTTGACTTTCTGCCCAGGAGGGTAGACTAGAAGTTGCGCGGTGCACGCGGCTTCTCCGAAGTCGTTTCTCACCCTCGCCGTGTAGTCCCCAGAATCTGACTGTTGAACACTCTCGATGAGTAACACATGCTGGCCTTTTGCCTTGTTACAGATGACTTCTCTGCGCTGGTCTTGTTCAAGCTCCTGGCCGTTGTACTGCCATATAACCGTCGGTTCCGGGTTGCCCGTGACAACCACCTCAAACCTTGCGGCACCACCATCCTCCACTGCCTGGCTGTCCAGCATTTTGGCAAAGTTCGGGGACTCTCCCTTCACCATCTTAACCTTCTGGCCTCGAGGAACAACGTGTAGCTCTGCAGTGCAGGCTGCTTCGCCAAACTGGTTCCCCACTCTTGCTGTGTACTTCCCAGCATCAGCCTTTGTTAACTTCTGTATCACCAGAACGTGGTGGTGGTTTGCTGAGTCTGTGCTGATCTGCCGACGACCGTCTGACTTTAACTCCTGACCATTGTGAAGCCAGGCTACTTCAGGTTCTGGACTCCCAGTGACGATGGTCTCAAACTTAGCTGTGCCGCCCTCTTCCACTGCCTGGGAGTCGGGCATCTTCCCAAAGTTGGGCGGATCCCCCTGGAGCGATTGTTGGGACGTGCCTTGTACCACCATGGTACCACCCTGTACCATCGTTCCTTGGCCACCTTGTACCATGGTGACCTGGCCTCCTTGCACCATTGTACCACCGCCTTGTACCACCATTGTGCCTTGGCTTCCTTGTACCATCATTCCCTGGCCACCTCCTACCACAGTAACTTGGCCTCCTTGTATGCCCTGCCCACTCTGAACAGTCTGGCCCTGGATCACTTGTACTACCTGGTCCCCTCCTGTTGCGCTCTGTGGAGTCCCTCTTGCAGCCTGAACCCTCTGGCCTGCTGCTATGATGCTCTGCGAGAGGCCCTCCAAACCGACTTTCCCTTGTACAACCTGGCTGGCTGTACCCTGTGCAGTTTGGCCTTGTGCAACCTGGAAGGTTTGACCAGCTTGGCCCTGTACAACCTGCACAGTTTGACCAGCTGTGCCTGGTGCAACCTGGAAGGTTTGACCAGCTTGGCCCTGTACAACCTGGACTGTTTGACCGGTTGTACCTTGTGCAACCTGGAAGGTTTGACCAGCTTGGCCTTGTACAACCTGGGTAGCTTGACCAGCTCCCTGTACAACCTGGGTAGCTTGACCAGGCCCCTTGACGTGTTGCACTCCCTCCTGCACTATGGTGACCTTCTGTCCGCGAGGGTAGACCAGAATCTGTGCAGTACACGCTGCAATACCGAAGTCATTCTGCACTCTGGCCGTGTACTCTCCGGAATCCGCTTCCTGCACTTGCTGAATCACCAGACGGTGAGAACGTGCGTCCACAGAGATCTGCCTTCTTGCATCCGCCTGTAGTTCCACCCCTCCAAACAGCCATGTCACAGTCGGTTCTGGGGTTCCACTCGTGACAATTTCCAGCTTTGCAACAGTTCCTTCCTCCACAGCCTGGCTTTCTAACATCTGTGCAAAGTTTGGGGACTCTCCATGAACTAACTGCACCTGTTGACCAGGTGGGTACGTGTGTAGGCTTGACGTACAGGCAGCTTCTCCAAAGTCGTTCCTCACCTTAACAGTGTACTCCCCATCATCCTCACTCTGTACCTTCTGTATCACCAACGCGTGGAGGTGCCTCGCCTGGTCGTACTGCAGCTGCCTCTTCTGATCCGGCCTGATTTCCTTCCCGTTGTGATACCAGGATACTTTCGGCTCCGGATTTCCGCTCACAACAATCTCCAGTCTCGCCGTGCTGCCCTCCTCTGCAGCCTTGCTTTCCAACATCTGTAAGAAGTTTGGTGCCTCTCCTTGTACCAGCTTCACCTTCTGCCCTGGCGGCTGTACGAATAGCTGACCAGTGCAGCCGGCCTCGCCGAATTTATTCATCGCTCTACATGTGTAGTTTCCTTGATCCGACGGCTGCACCTTCTCAATCACCAACGCATAAAGTTGCTGCTTTGCATCTGCGATGAATTTCCTTCTCTGGTCAGCTTTGATTTCTACCCCATTGAAGAGCCAGGAGACAGTGGGTGCGGGTGAACCACCAACTCCAACCTCCATCCTAGCCGTGCTGCCTTCTTCAACAACCTGGCCGCTCAGCATCTTAGTAAAGTTCGGGCCGTCTCCTTCCACTCTCTGTTGCTGTACCTGCTTCTCCTGGAAGAGAAGTTGAGCTGTGCACGCCGTCTCTCCCAATGCGTTCAGAACCTGTAAGGTGTAGTCACCAGAATCCGACACTTGCAGCTTTGTGATGATTAAGACACATCGGCCTGTCTTCCTGTCTACCTGAATCAGATGCCTCGGGTCTCCCTTGATCTCTACACCGTTGTGCAACCAGATAATTTTTGTATCAGGAGAGATGTTTACAAAAGCTTCAAACTTTGCCCGCTCTCCTAGCACAGCCGTCTGGCCCTGCAGGGCTTGTGTAAAGTTTGGAGCTGATGTCGGCCCGTCCACGGTTTCTTTAGTCTTTGGGCCCGGTGCTGCAGCCATTGTTGGTGCCTGCTGCATGACTTGTGTGACTTCCTGCTCCACCACTGTTTCATCCACTGCGGAGTAAGGCAGGAGTTTTGTCAGCTTTCTTTCTTCCAAGTAAGTCTTTGTGTAACTTTATCTTGAACATGCGACAAGGCATGCATTATGTCGCCACGCAGGTGCCCAAAAGAGGCTTCTTGAAAGTTCCATGCAGAGTCACAGATAGGACAGATCCATGCAATCTTAAGGCAGCTTGAAATACGCCTCCTCGAGAAAAAACAGGAAAAGAGACAGATGGCACACGGAAAGGGAGTGAAGTCCTCAAAATGTTGCCATGCATTGTAAACTGTTCGTGCAAAATTGCAAAAATTGCCAGAAAGTTGTCCACCGCAAACCATTACCATGTCTGTATCAGTGTAGAAGGTAGTTGTAGAGGAAAGGTGGTAATGGTTAGCATACACACACTGTTACTCCAGTTCCTATCAGTAAAACAGTAGTGTCCTCTCACCTTGTACAGTAAGCTGTGCCTGGCTCTGCACCTGCCCCGCTGGGTTCACAGCCTTGCACACAATCACCCCCGAGTCTTCAGGCAGACACTCCACAATCACTAAGGAGTACACGTCTCCAAGACGCGACATCTTAAAGTCGGACGATTCCTTAAGTTCAGCACCGTTTTTGTACCAGGTGACAGTGGGGTCAGGTTTGCCCTGGATGCGGCAATCGAATCGTGCGGAGCTTCCTTCAGGAGTGGTTTGGTTTTGCAGGTCTTTTATGAAGGCAGGTGAGACCTGGGCAGGTTTCACTGCTTCTGTGACAGCTTCTGTAAAACCACGGAGTCACTGTCATATATCACATCAACTTATGGTGATACACATTTTACACAGAACCATCAGAAGAATCAGATGTCGAAATTTTCAAACGTTGCCATCAACAAAATAAGTTTACATCCTACAAACTTGAAATTATCGACATAGTCTTGTGTAGCTACTTGGAACATTACTTTGCAACCCAATTCTAAACAATTTTTCATGCAGAATCACATCAAACCAAGGCCCATGCAAAACTAAAGCACTGAGAAAAAACTATTTTTATGCATGGCTGGCCAAAGCAGATGAACTGCATTGATACATGAATGAAGGAATTCTACCACATTTATTCCAAAATTCAGTACTTCTTTCTTTTCCAATCGTTTAATTAAAGCAGCTCCTTGCTAACGAAGCTTGACTGAGTGGAAAACATATGAAATATAATTTTTGCAAGCTGCAATGGAATAACAACAGTACATTTTCATAACGATACAGTAAATGTTGTATACATGACGTAACACAAATGTTCCTATGAAATGACTGCACTAACACGTATACAATAGGTATGGCGTGCAATGATATGTTCTAGCATGAAGCACAGAGCAGAGAATGAAGGCAGGAAAGTGGGTTACCTTGTAATGACTCGGACTACGAAAGGGGTGGGAAAATTCTACGAGATGTAACTTTTGAAAGAAAAAGTCCGCCAGAAAACTGCAACTCGTAGTAGAAAATTATCGCTGCCACAGAAGAGAGGGGTAACCAGAGAAAATAAAGGGAACATGTTTAGAGATTAGACAAGTTTACAAAATTAATACTAAGCAATGCATCGCGCAGGTAAAAAGATTCAAGCAATCGGTTGTTGGTGAGCTTTCTACAGGTAAAAATTAAAGAGAAAGTCCAAATCTAAAGCACTTAATTGCAATTAATTCTGTCAAAGGCTGTTGCTATAGAGACAAGAGGATGTTGCTATGACGACCGTAAGCCGAGAAGCAGAGCAAAATTAATGTTTCTACTTCTAGGAACATGAGAGAAATGCAAGACTAAACACAGGGATAACTATACAATATGAAAAGCATAGACTGGTGGAGATGCTTGTGACATAGTCTTTTTTTAAATGATATGTATGAAGATAAACATATTAAAGCTTGTAGGGGGATTTTTTCTGATTGTGTCACTGATTTCAACATTATATGCTGTAGTTAAACTGGCTGTACACTGAAGGCATGTCATACTGGTCATTTCATGCATATTTTTTAAATCAGACACCAGTCTTTGCTTCAATGTAGTGAAACAAGTTGCGGCAAGCGTGCGGATAGAAACAATGAAAGTATGATCCTATCAAGTTTTCAGGTGTTACTGAAAGTGTGAAGCGAAATTTTCACTTCAGGTGTTACTAAAAAAAACTTTCACTTCAACAGGTGTTGCTGAGAGTGAAAGTGAAGTGAAACTTTCCCTTCAGGTGTTGACAGGTGTGCGTGTGTGACTTACTCTCCACGGCCAGGTCCGCCGCACACTGGTCCTCTCCGGCTGGGTTGACCGCCACGACCTTGTAGGTTCCGGCGTCTTCAGGGAAAGCCTCGCTGATGTTTAAGACATAGTACTCGCCCTCGGACATCAGCTGGAAGAACTTGGACGGCTTGATGGGAGAATCGTTACGGTACCACGTAACGTCCACCTCTGGGGAGGGAGAGGGATACAACATAAGATTCAGTACCATCATAATCATACATGTACAGTCTAGTACAGATATGGTACCACGTAATGTCCACCTTTGTGGAAGGGAGAACGAGAGAGATTAACATTCAGTACCAAGGACGGGTAAACAACAGTGTAACGTGTAGGCAGATTTACATATTACATATACATAGGGTACAACATAATGTCTACTTTTGGGGAAGGTAGATTTAGTACAGCTTAACATTCAGTACCAAGGACAAGTACCTATCAGGCAGATTCATACAATCATGTACAGATATGGTAACAGGTAACATCCACCTCTGGGGGAGGGAGATGGGGACAGTTTAACATTCAGTACCAAGGACAGGGACATGTCAGTGTATCTAGAAGTTAGTTTTACCAGTGAATTCCAAGTACCCCCTTTGTCCACCTCTGTGGAAGGGAGATCACAGCTTAAGATTCAGTACCAAGGACAGGTACATGTCAGTGTAACTGGTAGTCAGATTCACCAGGGGATTCATACTATCATGTACAAGAATGTTACTAAGCAAAGTTCATCAATGTGCAAGGGAGAAGAGAAGTGCCTGACATTCAGTGCTATGAACAGGCACATATCTATATATGTACAGATATGGTACCACATAACATTCATCTCTGTGGAAGGGTGAATAGTACCAAGGAATACATTTGAGAAATTCACAGAAAATTTCATTGTAACAAGTAGGCCAACTACTCTCATCTATCTTCAACATATTACCAGAAGTGAGAAGAAAAGCTAACTTTCAGCACCAAGGACAGAGACAATATTCATGGTTTATATATAAGTGCACATGGCTTTCAGTACCAAGGACAGGGAAACTAAGAAAAGAAAGAGTGTCCTCACCGGTTCCCTCGATCCTGCAGGTGAAGCCTGCTCCCTCTCCCTCGCGAGTCTCGGTACCCTGGATGGGCTCCAGGATGCGGGGCGGCCGCACCTCCTCCTCCATCGCTTCCTCCACTCCATGCTCTGTACAACATGCACAACGGCTTGGAAACGGCGCTCATACAGGCTAATGTAGCTAATGATAGCCTCATAATTAGCTAAGATAGTTTCATACTATAATAATTTTGTAGATGGCTTGCTCTATAACTTCATGAACTGTGTCTAAGGTGTGTGTGTATGTGTGTGTGTGTGTGTGTGTGTGAGTGAGTGAGTGAAAGACATTTCCTAAAGACTGATTTTGCACTAGACAGCTAGCTATTCATTGGAAAATAGCAGCCTGTTTATGGTCAGCATTTTCATTCAAGGAACCATTATTTTAAGTAGAGACATATGTTAGAAGTGACTGGTTGATATTTAAAAGTATTTTTCACTCCTTCGAAACCCTGTGCTTGACGCTACCCATACTTAATGTATCTGTATCTGCATAGATCTGAAAGCTGATCTGAGTTTGATTTTTGAGTAAGGTTATCTACAACATTCACTTGATAATGTTCTATGGTTGGCTGTAAGGAGTTAGTAAGAGCACAGTATGATCCTAGCACTATGTGTTTGAGGAAGGCAGAGCATGAAATGCCAGAGGACAGAACTTTCCAACCCACACAACATTTATTGATCAAAGCCACAGAGATACAGTGAAGAGAGTGAGAGAGAGAGAGAAACAGTCGTTTTGGCAAGAAATGGAAATTGACAGAGACAAGTTTGACAGAAATGGCAGTGGTGTAGAAGTGGTTTTGAGCAGAAAACATGGCTCAGAAAATGTGAAGAGAGACGGAGAAAGGAGGACAAATAGAAATGAAAAACATTGAGATGAGAGAGATGTAGGTTTCCTAGGAAACGGCTTCCTAGGAAACCAGAAAAGGAAGAAAAATAGGACAAAACTGACAGCAACGGGAAGCAACAATGGGATATGATTTGGTCCCATTTTAGGACGGTTATTTTTTTCATCTATTTTTTTACTGCAGGAATTTAACAAAGTGGGACAAAACCACATCAAAAAACAGAAAAGTGGATGAAAATTGGGGAAAAGGGTGCATGAGAATTTTGCAGATTNTTGGTGAGCTTTCTACAGGTAAAAATTAAAGAGAAAGTCCAAATCTACAGCACTTAATTGCAATTAATTCTGTCAGAGGCTGTTGCTATAGAGACAAGAGGATGTTGCTATGACGACCGTAAGCCGAGAAGCAGAGCAAAATTAATGTTTCTACTTCTAGGAACATGAGAGAAATGCAAGACTAAACACAGGGATAACTATACAATATGAAAAGCATAGACTGGTGGAGATGCTTGTGACATAGTCTTTTTTTAAATGATATGTATGAAGATAAACATATTAAAGCTTGTAGGGGGATTTTTTCTGATTGTGTCACTGATTTCAACATTATATGCTGTAGTTAAACTGGCTGTACACTGAAGGCATGTCATACTGGTCATTTCATGCATATTTTTTAAATCAGACACCAGTCTATGCTTCAATGTAGTGAAACAAGTTGCGGCAAGCGTGCAGATAGAAACAATGAAAGTATGATCCTATCAAGTTTTCAGGTGTTACTGAAAGTGTGAAGCGAAATTTTCACTTCAGGTGTTACGGAAAAAAACTTTCACTTCAACAGGTGTTGCTGAGAGTGAAAGTGAAGTGAAATTTCCCTTCAGGAGTTGACAGGTGTGCGTGTGTGACTTACTCTCCACGGCCAGGTCCGCGGCACACTGGTCCTCTCCGGCCGGGTTGACCGCCACGACCTTGTAGGTTCCGGCGTCTTCAGGGAAAGCCTCGCTGATGTTTAAGACATAGTACTCGCCCTCGGACATCAGCTGGAAGAACTTGGACGGCTTGATGGGAGAATCGTTACGGTACCACGTAACGTCCACCTCTGGGGGAGGGAGAGGGATACAACATAAGATTCAGCACCAAGGACAGGGACATATCAGATTCATACATTTGTACATGTACAGATACGGTATCATGTTACGTCCACCTCTGGGGTTGGAGGATGAGAACAGTAAAAGATTCAGTACTATGGACAGGTAGATCAGATTCATACATGTACATGTATGTATATGGTACCACGTAATGTCCACCTTTGTGGAAGGGAGAACGAGAGAGATTAACATTCAGTACCAAGAACGGGTAAACAACAGTGTAACAGATAGTCAGATTTACATACATACGGTGCAATCTAATGTCCACCTGGCTGCAATGTACTTTTTTAAGGATCATGTTGATCAAATAAACCAGTCATTCATTCATTCATTCATTCATTCATTCACTTTGTGGAGACAGACAGAGCTTAACATTCAGTACCAAGGACAGGCACAGATTAGACACATTTAACAACTATGGAGAGATACACTACCAAGTATTGTAAAGGTCTGTAGAGGGGAGATGAATACATTGACAAGAACCCATGTGTCAAGAATCATACAAGAATGCTTCATGTTTTCCATTTCTCTGGATAATAGGAAGTCATCAGCTTACCATTCATTCACTGGTTAGCATTGCATCGTATCGTGGAGCTTTGATATATAAGTCAGTGGAAGTGAGAAGAAGCAAACTAGACTTTCAGTACCAAGGACAGGGAAACTGTAAGAAAAGAAAGAGTGTCCTCACCGGTTCCCTCGATCCTGCAGGTGAAGCCTGCTCCCTCTCCCTCACGAGTCTCGGTACCCTGAATGGGCTCCAGGATGCGGGGCGGCCGCACCTCCTCCTCCATCGCTTCCTCCACTCCATGCTCTGTACAACATGCACAACGGCTTGGAAACGGCGCTCATACAGGCTAATCTAGCTAATGATAGCCTCATAATTAGCTAAGATTCATAATTAGCTAAGTTTCATACTATAATAATTTTGTAGATGGCTTGCTCTATAACTTTATGAACTGTGTCTAAGGTGTGTGTGTATGTGTGTGTGTGTGTGTGTGAGTGAGTGAAAGACATTTCCTAAAGACTGATTTTGCACTAGATAGCTAGCTATTCATTGGAAAATAGCAGCCTGTTTATGGTCAGCATTTTCATTCAAGGAACCATTATTTTAAGTAGAGACATATGTTAGAAGTGACTGGTTGATATTTAAAAGTATTTTTCACTCCTTTGAAACCCTGTGCTTGACGCTACCCATACTTAATGTATCTGTATCTGCATAGATCTGAAAGCTGATCTGAGTTTGATTTTTGAGTAAGGTTATCTACAACATTCACTTGATAATGTTCTATGGTTGGCTGTAAGGAGTTAGTAAGAGCACAGTATGATCCTAGCACTATGTGTTTGAGGAAGGCAGAGCATGAAATGCCAGAGGACAGAACTTTCCAACCCACACAACATTTATTGATCAAAGCCACAGAGATACAGTGAAGAGAGTGAGAGAGAGAGAAACAGACGTTTTGGCAAGAAATGAAAATCGACAGAGAGACAAGTTTGCTGACAGAAATGGCAGTGGTGTAGAAGTGGTTTTGAGCAGAAAACATGGCTCAGAAAATGTGAAGAGAGACGGAGAAAGGAGGACAAATAGAAATGAAAAACATTGAGATGAGAGAGATGTAGGTTTCCTAGGAAACGGCTTCCTAGGAAACCAGAAAAGTGAAGAAAAATAGGAAAAACGCTGACAGCAACAGGAAGCAACAATGGGATATGATTTGGTCCCATTTTAGGACGGTGTTTTTTCTATCATTTTTTTACTTGCAGGAATTTAACAAAGTGGACAAAAACCACAATCAAAAAACAGAAAAGTGGATGAAAATGGGAAAGGTGCATGAGAATTTTGCAGATTTGATGATATTTGTGAATTTGAGCCACATTTCTTGCCCCCTACCATGACAATAGGAGTTTGAAATGTACATTTCAGCAGAGAAAGGCAGACAGAAAAGTTGAGAAGAAGCATGAATGATTTTTGACAGTCTTGTTATCAGAGAAGACACCAAGTTGTCCACGTCATAGGGTAATAAAATTAGTCATTCTCCCCTTCCTTCCAAGGTCGTTGCTATGAGGGGGTTGCTAAGGGGTTCGCGTCACATGACTAATTTTATTACCCACAATGCACCCTTCCCAGAATGCAGCAGTGATCATAGTTTTGTGTTGGTGGGTTGGATAGTTTTCGCTGGCGATTGGTTAGTCGGTCGTGACCAATTTTATTACCCTAATAGCAGAGGACTTGGTCCTTTTACACAGGACAGATCAAGGAGGCAAAGAGAGTAAAGTATACAATACAAATCAACCTTTCTTTGCACCCTAGTAGAAAATTTCCTACCTATAACCTACTTAAAGAATTGTTTGTACTCTAAACTCATACCAAAGAAAGAAAGAAGGAGAAACACACACACACACACACACATGCAGCACATGGTGCCGCACTAGCCAGAATATCTCCCTGGAGACAGTTGAATTAAGTTTCCTAACTAATAAAGATACATGTAGAACACCCCTATATTTTAGACCTTCAAAACCAAACAAATTTTCACTCAAAGGAAAAAAGGCAACTGGGGAAAAAAATCAGCCTTGGCACCATTTGAAATTTGGTAAAAGGGGCAACCCTTTCAAAAGCCCTTCCCTTGACACTTGTAGCTGCCTCTTGGAAGGAATCTTAGTGACGATTTTACTTAAGGAACAAATGTCTCAAGACACAGGTCACCAACTCCTTGAGACACAGCCTGACCTTGGGGCATGCAGGCTTTTGTCCTTGGAATCCTTTTCAAAAATCTTAAAGGGCAGGAAAGACTTGGGGTTTCTACCATGAAAAAGTCTAAGAAGTTGCTTTTTTTTTTCAAACATTTCGTGAATATAATTTGCATGCTAATTTGCTGAAAATAGCTGTTTTGAATTCTGCAAGCATGAAACACAACCCGCACAAAGTTTCCTTGCAGAGTCTTGAAGAACAAACTTTAACTCTTTAAGAACAAATCCTAATCTTCAGTGAGAAGAGTAGATCTCCCTAAAGTAATTGATCTTCTTGTTCTCGACCAACTCGTATTTAGTATTGCTGAACAATTTACCCTCGACCAGGAGCTGGGCGGAGCTTGTTGCCATGCCGACGTCGTTGCTAGCGACGCAGGCGTACTCTGCGCTGTCCTCGATGGCGGCGTTGATGACCAGGAGGGTGTGCGTGTTACCGTCGGTTACGAACTTGTACTTGTCGCCCTCTGCGATCGGCTGGCCATTCTGAAGGACAAAATCAAATGCAAGTTTATTGCACAACATTTGTAAGTGGCACAATGTAAGTCAAAGTGTTGTAAAAGACTTGAACTAATTACAATTAAGTAGTACAATCCACTTGTCAAATCTATGCTATACAACATTGATAGAAGACACGGTATAAAGAGTAATGAAGAACATTCTATAAGACTACCGGCTCATTACATTAATCTATGTACAATATATACAGTCATGAATTAAGAGCTATACAATATTTATAGAAGTCACAAGGAGGAATTGTATGTCTACTATACAGCTAGCTACATTATATGTTGTACATATCTGAGCACGGTTCTGGATATAAAAGCATGGTTCTGGATACAGCAGTAGTGAAAGCCTTATGTACCTTCAGCCAGCTGATCTGTGGCGGGGGGTGTCCACACACGGTGCCGTGGAAGCGGATAGGTTCTCCCGCCTCCACAATGTGACTCTTCAGGGTCTGGGTGAACTGGGGAGCTGCCAACTCTAGCTCAGCCGCTGGAGGGAACAGGAAAGGGGCAACGTTAGCTGTCAGAAACATCATGTACAAATGTGCAGGAGAAGTCCCATACAGTCGAACCTGTACTAGTGACCACCTCTGCACAAGACGGACAGAACAGGAAAGGGGCAACGTTAGCTGTCAGACTCAGAAACATCATACACAAGTATACAGAAGTCACATATAGTCGAAACTGTTCTAGTGACCACCTCTGCATAAGAAAGGTTTTGACTGAAGGAAGATCAGGACAGGATCCAACTGCCACTGTTTGTCGTGTCCAAAGTTTACATGAAATGTGCCTGTTGCCCACAATGTTAGACGTAAACTCTTTTGCATAGGAATTTCTGCTGTTTCGTCTAGTGGTCACCACAATGATAAAGGTCAATGACCTGCATGTAGAGGTGTATAGATCGGTGAGAGGGTAGACCACAGCACATGTCAGACAAACAAATCACACAACAAACCACCAGTCCTCCAAACCACGAAGTAGGGTTGACAATCGAACCACAAGGGGGGAAGGTAAAAGGTCAAAGTACCAGGAAAATGGTCAAAGTTCATCGCAAGGATGTGGAATGTGGGGACCTTGGTTATTGGGGCTCGACACTGAAAAGGTGATGTAGGGGTCTTCAGGAGGGCATGTATTTGTGTGTCAAAGGTCAGGGTCATGGGTCAAAGGACAATGCTAAGCAGTCACCCTCCAAAGTCTTCTGCCTCTTAAGTTTGCCTTCTTCCAAACCCTCCAGGAAGGAATCGGTTTGTTCCTCAGTTTTCTGTTGCTTAGGCTTTACTTCTTCTCCATCCTCCTTATCCCAAGCTTCCTTCCTCTTTCCCTTCCCATCTTCCAGGTTCACAAGGAACTCACTGTCTTTCTCCCCAACTGCAGAAAGCAGAGACACGTGAAGCAGCATGCTGCAGCCATGCAACTGTCTGCGGTTAGCCAGCGGTGGCAATGGATTGCTTTGCTACCTGAGGCTTAAGTGTGAATTTTTTGCTTGATTTTTGAAGTAGATCCACGACCATCTGAATAAGGCATTAAGCAACCCACCAATCATAAGCTATGGATGGCAGTTTGAATATTCAAACCAACCAATGGGGACATCTGTAAGAAAGCATGCATCCTGCATTTGAGACTGATATGAATCTATAGTGACTTTTTTGATAGAAGAAATAGTTTGCAGTTTTGTGAAGGTTTCTCTCAGCTATTACAGCAAACAAACCCAGTTTAAAATTTATCATTCTGATTCTGTGGCCTACAGGATCATTAAAACTTAAACATTCCATTTACTTTTGAGTTACACCTAACTACTGCCCTTTTCTTCCCAAATTCTACAAGTAACGGTCCCAACAATGGAGCAAAGCAAAGCATATGCAGCAGTCTCAGGAGCCCAAAACTTAATGCACAGCATATATGACTGATGGGGAATGGATTTTAGCGTTTTGATGTGATTATTATGATCATTCCGGGATGTTGAAGGATGAATTTTGCATGAATAGGGAGAATAATGATGGGAAGGGGATTAACTAATTTAAAAAAAAATTCTGGGTCTGTTTCAAAGTATATCATTGTGTTTAACGGGGATTCAAATCTGTACTTTCCATCCATTATTATCACGGTGACTATTTATCATAGTTGTGAGCTGTTCCTAAAAACAATCTATCTAATCACAAAGATTGTGAGTGGTATACTGTACTTATTGAGTAGAATTAAAAGTTTAATATCTACTACTCTCACACATAATTTTAACAACTAAGCTTTTCCACACGATGAGATCAAACACTTCAACGCGTAGATTATTGATTTTAGTTTCGCAGGTAAGAAACTGCAAATCGCAACTTCTTAAGATACTCATGATCTTTAAGAAGTCTGGTTAATAGACTGAGATTTGTGAGGATCTAAGTCTACCACATCAGCCTCACCCTCTGTGTACTGTTGGAAGCTCTCGTACTGGAAGTCTTGATTTCGCTCAATTCCTGCTTTTCTCAATTGTCTGGGTCCCTCTAAACTAGCCAGGAAACTGTCTTCTTCAGATGCATCTAAGACATTGCCTTTGTTCTTTAAGACATTTCCATCTGAGGAAGGTGAGAAGTCATCTTCAAACCTGCACTGGGCAGCTTCAAGATGCTTTTGTTTTCCATCTTGCAATCTCGACAAGAAGGGATCAACATCTTGAGATGAAGAGAAAGGATCCTGGCTTTCTTGTAGCTCGGATACCTTAAAGTGCTTGGGTCCTTCTAGGAAAGAAAAAGAAGTGTCATCGAGGTCTGCTGACTTCCTTTTAAGGTGTGGCTGTGAAGTATCTGACAACTCTTCTTCTTGCTCCTTAAATCTCGCAAGCCGCTGCTCCTTTGGTTCTTCTAAGCTCTCCAAGAAGGGATCTTTCTCCTCAAGGAATGGATCACCTTCTTTAGCATGTTGAGGCTTTGTGTAACCCTTCTCCAAGAACGTTGCTTGTCGCAAGTCTCTAGGTTCTTGCAAACTGGCAAGGAAGGGATCTTCTGGCTGTGGTGTTCCCTCATCAGTGCTAGACACATGTTCTTCTATGTCTTCGTTACGCCTTGAGATGCTGCGCTGTTCCTTTGCTGGCTCCAAACTTGCTAGAAAGACGTCTTCTTCTGTAGCAAACTTCTCCAGCCTCCCTTGATTGTTTAAGGACGGACAAGTCTCAGCCTGCATGCTGGCTAGCCTGTCTTGTTTTGGTTTCTCCAAGCTGGCTAAGAAAGGATCCACTGGTTCATCAGACTCTTCATCTTCAGAACCATCAGAGTCAAGCAGATTCCGGTCATCCACTTCTTCAGCAGAATCTGTTTCTTCTTCAGTTTCTGAAGATTCTGTCTCGCTGCTGGCCACCTTCTCAGGCTCCTCCTGTTCTTCAATAGGAGCTAAGAAAGAGACGGTCCTTCCCTGCACAACCACATCAGTCTCAATTTGCTTTTCTGGGAACCCCACAAGGAAAGTTTTGCTCTGTTCCTCGAGAGCTGCTAGCCTTCTCTGTCTAAGATCTTCCAGGCTCTTTAAGAAGGGATCCTGATCTTCAAGATGGTCTCCAAAGGCACCTTGCTCCCGTAATGTCTTAAGACGCTGCCTGCGGATGTCCTCTAAACTTGCCAAGAATGGATCAGTTTCTTCACCACCTATTTCAGGTGTTTCTAGTGCTTGTTCAGCCCCTTCCTGCTTTGCTTCCTCAAATTTAGGTGGTGATGTTTCTAGCTCTGCAGCCCCTATTTTACCCCCTACCTCTGAAGCAGATTGTATTTGAGATGAAGTACTCTCTTGCCAGAATGCAGGATCAAATGGCTCTGGCTTTTTCTTTGGCCTTTCCAAACCTTCAACATCTTCAGTCTGTACAGTATCTCTTTCTAAGTCTTCTTCAGGTGTTTCTTCCACCTCAGTTTCCACCTCAGAACCTTCCCCTGAGAAAAAAGCAGTCCTCTCTTCTGCAGTTCCTTCCGCAAAAGGCTCACCCTCACCTTCTAAATCTTCAAGACTTTCCTGGCTTTCGTCTTCTTCCTCGATGCTTGCCAGTGAGGAGTTTACTGTCCTGTCAGTGTCACTCCCCTGGCCTCTTCCCATCTCTACGTCTTCTACATTCTCCAAGATCCGGTCCACTTCCTCTTCCAAGTCATAGCTGTCACCACTGTCTCCATCTTCTTCTGTGCTTTCTTCATAGTCACTCTCACTTTCATCTGAGTCTTCTTCTTCATCCTCAAGACTGATTACCTGAGTTTCCCGACTCCACTTTGGCCTCTCTAAGAGATGAACGAGTTTTCGCACGTCTTTCTGTATGGTCTTTGCTCCTTTCTCCTTTTCTTCTTCAAGGGCGGCTAAAGAGGGTGAACTAGAGATCTCACTGTTACCCACTTGGAGGGACTCTCGCTTTGCTTTGCCATCTTGCAAACCTGACAGAAATTCATCACTACCTGCTTCTATCCTAGCCTCTCTTCTATGTTTTGGATCCTCAAGACTTGATAGAAACTCTTCCTCTTTACCATATATCTCTTCCTCAGTATCATCTGCTTGAAGAGACTCTCGCTTTGCTTTAGGGTCTTGCAAATCTGCTAGAAATTGATCACTACCTGCTTCAATTGTTGCTTCTCTTCTATGTTTTGGATCCTCAAGACTTGAGAGAAACTCTTCCTGCATTCCAGCATCACTGGAACCAAATCGTTTGGCTACTGGTCCTTGTAAACTCGTTAGAAAAATGTTTTCTACATCAGATGCTACTAAGCTGTGTGTTGGCTCATCTGAAAGAGGCATATTGGTTTCATCATCTGTTGTAAAGGAATCCTTTGTTTTTGTTTCATCTAAAGAGACAAGGAAAGTGTCCTCTCCTGCTTCCCAGCCCAACAGCCTTCTGTTCTTCCCTTCTTCCAAAGCTGTGAGGAAAGCCTGAGCTTCTAAGTCATGCTGAAACTCTTCTGTTTCTTCATCCCATGTTGGGAATGGAGAGTCAACTTCCTCATCTGGTCCGAAGTGTGTGGAATCCTCCTCCGCATCTGAGATGTCCTCAAAATCTTCAGGAGCAACATCAACATCTTCTACTGGACTTATTTCTGCACCATTTTCTTGAAAGACATCGTCCGAGATAGAATCAGACACAGAGTCAGATGGCGGGGATGGCTGAATGTTAGCTTTACGCAGCTCACTTGCTTCTGTCAAACTTGTGAGGAAAGTATCTTCCTCTTTCGGTAGCTCCTTTGTATGAGAAACAGGCATGATGCTTTCCTCTTCCCTTGCCATTGCGCGTCTTTCTTTGGGTTCAGCCAAGCTTTCGAGGAAAACTTCAGACTCAGAGACTGACTCATGTTCAGGGGGAGGAGATGTGGGTATATTTTCTTTCCGCTTGTCTCTCATTTCTGAAATACTTTCCAGAAAAGCATCCCCTGACTCAGTATGTTGTGGCAGTACAGGTCCTGTTACAAGCATGGGGCTATCCTCTTCCCTAGTGACTGCCCGCTGTTGCCTTGGCTCTGCCAAGCTTTCCAGAAAAGCCTCAGGTTCTGAATCAGATTTAGGAAGTTCCAGGAAGGGATTTTCAGCAGTTTTAGAACCAGAAGGAATGTCAGATTCCAGGAAAATGTTTGCCTTATTAGGAAATGTGGGCTCTCTTTCAGTTTCAGTTCTTTCCTGCTGTTCAGTTAGCAAGGATTCACACCTTTGTCGAGTTTCCTGTAAACTTGTCAGGAAAATGTCACCTTGTTGTCGGAAAGGTTTTGGTTTTGCCAAGTTAGCCAGGAAAGTGTCTGTTCTCTGATGAATGACAACTTGAGACCTTTTCTTCCATCCTTGCAAGCTTGGGAAGAAAACGCTGGCGTCTCCAAGAGGTGCTATTCATGCAAAAACATATGGGAAGCCAGATATCTGTAAAGCTCACTCTGAGGAATGAGCTCAACAAATACCAGGTACAAAACAGATTGAACAGACATAATTTTTTGTCATTTTTTGGTTAATGTCAAGTTTTGGTTTCAGTTGTCAAGAAATCGGGATTAAGACAAAGAGAAGAAAAAGATGTTTTTCAGAGAACTAGGCAGAGATGTGAATCCTTCTTAGTTGCATCATTACACCTACTTTATGTTTTGAATATTTGGGCAAGGGTGATGCTAGCTAGGAGCAGTTTATGGAAGACTTGCCTTTTTTGGCAATTCAGTTAAAAGCTAGAGAAGAAAAAGGAGTCTTAATCTTATGAAGGAACTACCGACCGAGTTGGTTATGATTTAACATATTACTCTTAGAAGACTGGAGGCAACACCTACACTGCTGAATCAGACACAGATAGGAGAAGACTAAATAAAACTGGATAAGGAAGGGAAAGGGCTGTGAGGGTGTCACAAGTGAACAAAGTAATGTAAAACTGGAGATTCCATTAGAGAGCATAGGAAGAGAGTAGTATGAGGGGTCACACCAGGACTTTGTAGCTAAAGGTATACGTGTGTGTGAGGAGGTATAGATGTAGAGTGACAGATATTAAGAATAAGGGAATTAAAACCTTTCATGCACATGAACAATCACAACACATGACAGCAAGATAAGTACTGGTAATTCCAGCAAAACAATCAGAATCTAAAGTACAATCAATATTGCAACAGTACTCAGTGTCTAATGATGCAGGATATGTGAATCCCACAAATATATGATCATCTACCACTTTGTGCTATCATGCTCTAGACTATACATGTTTTATGAATGTCTGATCTGTAGGATTAGTAGTAAGTGTATTTCTTCTGATAAATGAATATGAATTTCTTTTCTGGAATATGACCCATAGCAAGAATGATTTTGTGTTTGACAATGAGCATCGTCAGGATTTCCTGACAGAAGTGAACATAATGTCTCTCCTGACAATTAAAGATTTGACAATGAGCGTGGTTCTGTACATGTATAGAAGAGTAACTGTAACACTTCTTACGTTTCACGATGAGCGTGGTTGTGTACCATGTATGTGGTTGTATACATGTGTGTGTACATGTATGAAAGAGTAAAGGCTTACGTTTCACGATGAGCGTGGTTGTGTAGCGTGCCTCCCCGGCCACCAGTGTGTAGTTGCCAGCATCATCCTGGGTGATGTTGATGATGCTCAGTTTGTGGAGACGTTTCTCAGACTCCATCTGGTACTTTTCTCCTAAAGGTGTCAAAGAGTCACATAAAAATCAAACTTACAATCCATAGTGCCACCTGGTAATGACAATGAAAATGATGTTTATTGCATATTCATGCCCTTCCGGGCTAAATGCATTGGGTGACATAACATACTGTATGATACTAGTTACTAGTACTTAGGGAATTGTATAAGAAGAAAAACAAAACAAAACTAACATCTCCTGTATACTATAATTCATCTAACTCTAAAGCTTACAATAGCTTAATGGTGTAGGAAGTCACTCAAGGTACCCAGTAACATCTTAACCATTAACTATTACTTGTAACCATTAACTATTGAATGTTGCACCAAATCTTCAATAAAGGTCCAGCAAATCTTGCAACCCTATAACACTATTCCATTTACTAACAGATAGATCATTCAGTAACTGTGTCTGGTGTAATTTTTGCCCTTTTGCTCTTCTTGACTTATAAAAATAGTATACACAAAGTAAAATCATGCTATACTATCAAGACAAATTCATACTATAACTTGTTGCAAAGGGCGAACTTATCATTACCTGAAACATTTCTTCAAGACTTTCTCTAAGATAGAATTTGTCTGACTTTCCCTAAGAAATATATTGTGCAAGATGTTTACTGACCTGCGTATATCTCCTTGTCGTTGTGTAGCCACTGCACGGCAGACACGTCCTCGTCAATCTCGAACTGGAGTGTCGCCGTCTGGTACTCAACGACTTCGAATGCCTCGATGGTACGCTGCATCTCAACGTGAGCAGCTGGAGGGAGGGGGAACGGAGATGTTAACTTTAACTTTCAGTCTCCCGAGGGTGCACAAATGCACCGAGTCTGGATTAGTACAGCATAAGTCAGTAGCAACAGGGTTAAAACTGTACAGACTACTACCAACTTGACTACACTTATACATGTACATGTACTCACTCTACAAGATACATTCAATTTGATTCCTTCCACATATGTATCAGCAGCAATTCTAGATTAATTTCAACAAAAAAGACTTTTCCTAGCTCCTCATAATATTAGGTACTGACAACAACAGTTGTAGAAAACACAAAACTTGTTCACATGGAGTAGAGAGACCCGGGACATACAACACAAGGCAACATAACTTGGACAAAAACAAGAACTTTAAGACTTTCTTAGAGACTCAAAAAAATAAATTCTTCCATGGCAAGAATTTGTGAAAAAAATCCTACTGGAATAAAACAAAAAAATCAGAGTAAGATATCATCTTCATAAAAATTCTCTGCTTCATAGATACAGGGCTCTGACTTCATCTGAAAAATCAGAGTATGCTATCATCATCAGAAAAAAATTCTGTCTCTGGCTTAGCAAAAAAATCAGAGTATGATATGATCATCATAAAAGTTCTCTAACTCATACAGGGTTCTGGCTTAGCGAGGGGGAAACAAAAGCAGGATGCAGCTAGAAGCGGGTTTGTTCTTACTCTCTACGTAAATCGTGAAGACGTGTCTGGTTTCCCCAGCAACAAACACGTAGTCTCCGGCGTCTTCCGGCAGCGTATCGTAAATCAGCAGCCGATGCGTGAAGCGGTCCCGCTCGATCACATACTTGTCGCTAATCTCAAGCCTCAAGTCCTTATGCAGCCACTGAGCGTCGTAATCCTCCTCTGAGATTTCGATCTCGAGGACCGCGGTGTCATGCGGGTCGACGCGGATCGGCTCTCGGGGTGCGGAGCGGATTTGGATATCAGGCAGGGGAGTCTCCTCGTCAACTGTAACTAAGCGGAGGAATGCACGGCTCAAAGTTTGCCAGCAGGGTTTTTTTTTTTTGGATATGGCCGGGCAAAGGGTGAGTTAGTGTGGTGCAGGGCTCTCGCTGTCTTTGAGCTTGTTTTTTCATCCCAATTTTGTGGAATAATTCAATCGTTTTTATAATAATGTCACAATTTTTGGCCACAAATGGTAAAATAGATTGAAAAATAAATTGAGGGCATTTGCATTTTGTTTTACCTCTAGTTTTACCTCTAGTAGACAAAGAAAGAAAATAAACAGTAAGTTGAAAATTTGGGTGGGTTCAAGGAAATTATATAGTGTCCTTGGTGAGTGCTTTTTTGTGTTTTGTATTGGAAATGACAGTTCAAACCTGTTTCAGGACAAAAATGGTGTTTTTAACATCAACAAATAGGTCAGGACTTGGCATGGTTTATTTCTTGACATGTTTACTGTAAACCGTTTACAATTTTTTCATTTCTCAATCGACTGATTTTGATTGTCCAGAGATTTTGTCTAGCAGATTTCTGTCAACTGTAGGGATAACAGACAAAGGCGAAAGCCCTGGTATGGTATTTATAGGGTGGCAGTGCAAGACAGCTGATCATGAACTTGTGCTGGCAGCCAGGGGACTTGTCAGTGGGAGTGCCAAGGGAGTGGATGCAGATGCTGAATGCGAAGATGCTGAATGCAAGGCTAAGCATGCCAACAGAACAAACTCAAAATGGCAGAAAATAAAATGAAACCAAAAAGAAAAAAGGTGGACTAAATGACTAACTTGACAAAAAATAACAAAAGTGAAACAAAAATGTGAAAAGGGAAATAAAAATGTACCGGTGGATACTTAAAGGAAGAGTGATTATTAAGAGAGGTGTCTAAGAAACGTGAACTGAAATACTGTGGACATTCACGATTAAGTAACAGTGGACTGGGCGTGTGATTATCTACCTAAGGTTAAGGACTAAAACTTCAAGACTACATTGAGTAAGTTGGACATGATATGGTTATGGACATGATACATATTATCAAAAAAATAACAAGATTGATTGTACAATCATATCAAATCTATCACAAGTTACATTACCGTAAATCATTATATTATCATAACGACAAAGATACAAAATTGCTCCCAGATACAAGCATGATCACAAGTATACATGTACATGTACAAGACTGACACCTTCCATTTATCAAGAGCATTACTTGTCTTAAATTCTATAAGGCTTCTTTACTAGAGGTCAACCACCAGCAGTATACATGTCTGGTATACATTTATACATAGACAGTATACATTTATACACAGATAAAGAGGAATATATCATACCATTCAGGTGTCAAAGCGAATTCTAACATACAGATGTCATCTAGTTTGTACTATTGTCATATTAAACAGAATGACTTAGACGTTTCTCTGTTGCATGTTCTGATGATTTTTTGTAGACATGAAAAATTTTGTTCTGATTCATTTACATTCTAAATATGTTCATGGCGAGAGAAAAAAGTTGACAGCAAACGAAAAATTCTGACATACCTTCAACATAGAGAGTAACAACCTCTCTGGTTTCTCCGGCCACAAAGACGTATTCTCCGGAGTCTCCCTGTTCTGTGTCGGCGATGAGCAGACGGTGTACGCAGCGATCGCGTTCCACCTTGTACTTCTCTCCGGTCTCAATACGAATCTCGTTCCGGTACCACGAGACGTCCACGTCCTTGTACTGGTCGGTGACCTCAAACTCGAAGGTCGCGACCTCGTTGGGCTTGACGGTGATGGTCTCCATCGGCTTGCGACGGAACTCAACGTATTTCACTGCAGAAAGAAGGAAAATCGTTAAACTTCAAGAAAAGTGTCTTAATGAATGGTTTATTTGTTTCAATGCATATGTCACAAACATTGCAGCCAGACCGGCTGAATTGCGTTAAGACATTTACAATTTGATAAAGAGATGATTACCACATATTTACATGGACACGCATTTAAAATTCGAATACAGACATGATTAAAATGTATTTACATCAACCTGCAACATATACATAAACGAGCGGGATAAAAAGGTCCTAAACGGCATTGTCTTCATTATTTTGCAAAGAAATTATCAATGTGGGTCTTTGAATAGTCAAGCTTATCTTCCTACCTAAGGCTACAGGCTACACCAATTTATTTCCTTGTTTCTTAGACAATTTTACGGAAAATACAACAAGCAGATATCATAAAAGCTGAGGACAGGAAGGAAAATTGTATATAACTCCATCAAACTGAGTGCACCAAGGCATAAACCTTTGTTAAAGGCTTTGTTTCTTCAATTTTTTTTCCCGTTAAGCATATTTTCTATATCAGCATGAAAGTTCATCTGAGTTGGTAAATTACATAAAAGGCATAAAGAGAGGCATAAAAGAGGCCATATACATCAGGGCACTTCAACCATCGCTCAACCGGGACGGGGGGCGATATCGACTTCAGACAACCTTTGACCCTTTGCTGACGTCACACGTGGGAAAAATCACGTGTCCACAGCATTTGGGTCAGATAGCTGAGGAAGACTGAGTGATTCGGTCGAAAATTTCTGGTGAGTCAAATTTTGAGTTGGAGAAAAGTTTAAGTTTTTCATAATATTTTCTATAATATCATTATATTGAAGTGGGCTAAGCTGAAGGTACACGTCTTGGCAACAATTCTTCCCTCCGTTGAAAGAGATTCTAGACTACGTTCTTTGGGACTCACCTTCAACATAAAGAGTGACGCTGGTCTGAGCGTCGTTAGCGACAAACGAGTAGTCTCCCTGGTCCTCGAGGGACACGTTGGAGATGTACAGCCTCCTGACTCCGCCCACCTGCTCAAACCGGTACTTATCACTGGTCGACAGGGTCACCTGGACAGGTGGGAAGTATACATATTTCAGTAAACAAACAAACAAACAAACAAACAAGCTTGTCACTGGTCGACAGGGTCACCTGCACAGGTGGGAATTATACATATTTCAGTAAATAAACAAAAAAACAAACAAAAAAATCAAGTTGTCGCTGATGAACATGGTAATCTGTACAGGTAGAAATCACACAATATTACTACAGTATCACCTGCATATATGTAGATAGAAATCAGGTATATTTATTCTGTATTTCCCCACATCTATAATAGACAAAAAGGAAACTACTCTCCTCTTAGGATCACAATATGGCACACATATTACAGAAAAAAAGTGGGATCTTCTGTCTTCCACTGTCTCAGAAAAAGAAGTCAAACCCAACAAGTTATAATTTGTAGCCAGCCTTCAATTTTAGATCAGAATAGTCAAATGTTGAATAATTTGTGCTTCATTGTGCCTGTTTCAGATTTCACTTATTTTTTTCGAGCCTATTGTTGATTTGAGAATAAAACTCAGATATTTTTCTAAATCTAGAAAAAGAAAGAATAAAGTTGACCTCGTTGCGGAACCACTGTCCCTCCACGTCCTCCTCTGAGATTTCCAGCTCGAAGGTGGCGGTTTCTCCGGGCGAGCAGCGGACAGGCTCGTAGATCTTACGGATAAACTCCACATGTTTCGCTGTGGGGGGAAGGACAAGGTGCGAGTTTAGGACTTGCTTACAGATATATTCTGAAAATAGTTTCATCTGGTAGGTAAAGCATACGATATAGAGATTTTCTTTTACACAACCAGTATTGTCTCACCGCAAAAGTGCCACCTACATCGGCTACATATACGTGTAGCAGCAAAAAGCAGTCAGAAGATCTGAGGCATGGTGAGAGACATTACTGGTTGTGTAAAAGAAAATTCTTATATCTCATGCTTACAGATATGTTAGAGAGATGTATCCATCCTCATAACCTTCTTAAGGCAAATTACTACATCTAAGATGAGGGAAAGGTACAATGTAAATGTCTCACAGTACATAACAAAGACATACATGAACAGATGACTACAACTACATTGTACAGTTTGTTAAGTCTACCACAAGGGTAAAGTCAGTAGAGGTGGAAAGGATTTGTAAAAGATATATCTATTATTACTGTTACTGTTTTTGTAAGAATTTCTGAATACCAAACCAACATATCATTGTGATGGTTCTGGTAACTATGGTTTTTGATAAATGTCATGGTTGGAGTGTGGTATCTATGGTGATAGTTACTATGGTGACAGTTACTATGGTGACAGTTACTATGGTAACTACCTGCTGGTTCAGAGGTGGCAACTGATTGGGTGAATGGACAGGTAGGTGGGGTGGTGGCAGGAGAAACAAAACGAAATGGACCAGAGAGAGAGAAGACACACAGGAGACACAAGCAAACAGACATACAAACGGTTACCCAAGATTGTTATTCAGGTAAGGAAAGATTCGAAATTTGGACATTGACATCACAGGAAAAATACATGCAAAGTGTGGGGCTGTGCTGTTTTAAAATCTGCTATGTGATGGCATGGTGTGACTGTTGTATTATTATTGTGCCATTGCCATCCTATAGCATATTTCAGAGACAGCCAACAGTTAGTGGAATTTTTCTTGTGATGTTTCAGTGAAATAAAGGGAAAAGTACTTCAAAAGGAAATAAGGACTGAGAAGTCAGATGATATCAAATGTAAAGAATGGAAGAAAAGGAAGGAAGTGAAGATTTAAGAAAAGGATGGAAATGGAGAGAAGAGTCAAAAGAATTACAATTAAAGGCTATGTAAAGGGTAGGGCAAAACATGCTGCTTGTAAAAGACAGGGTACAAAATTCCACAGGAACTAAAACTATGGAGAGTGTGATCTGTTGAAGTAACGTAGCTACGATGACGTACTGTCAACATAGAGCGTTGCCGTGGCTTTGGTATCCAAGGCGACGAAGCTGTACTCTCCAGAGTCGTCCACGGTGACGTTGAGAATTTCCAGTCTGTGCACCTTCTGGTCGGCGTGCACACGGAACTTGTCGCTGGGCGCAATCGCCTCGCCATTCTGTAAGGGAGGGACGACACTTGGTAAATACTTGTGGTGTGGCAAGGTTTGTAACAAAGAAATTGTTACAATAAACCTGTGGCAATAAAGTGTCATTGCTACATTATTAGGGAGAAATCACTTTCCATGGTGCTGAAATGCCTTCAAATGAAAGTATGACACTAGGTAGATACTTGTGGCAAGGTTTGAGGATTGTTACAAAAATGGTTACATTAACTTGTAGCAATGAAGTGTCACTGTGACATCATTCATGGAAATTGTCACTAGGCAAAATCACTTCACCCTTCTGTAAGGGAGGGATGACACTTTGTAAGTACTTGTGGTAAGGTTTGAGGATTGTTGCAAAAATTTGCTACATGAGACTTGTGGCATTAAAGTGTCACTGCTACATTATTAGGGAGAAGTCACTGTCCATGGTGCTGAAATGCCTTAAAATGGAGGTATGACACTAGGTAAATACTTGTGGCAAGGTTTGAGAGTTGTTACAAAGAAAATTGTTACATTAGCCCTGTGGCAATCAAGTGCTACTTTTACTTTAACATCATCATTTAAAGATACATCATCTCTGTCCTTGGTGCTGAAAGGTTGATAACTGCAATCTTTGCAAAAAAAACATTTTCAGCCATTTCTCCTTGCAATTCTTTCAAGACTGCATCTTGAAGGAAAACAGTTTTACTACCTTTCTAAGAAAAGTTCCTTAAGGAATCAGTACCCACCTTGAGCCACTGCACATCCACTCCTGAGAAGTTGATCTCCACCTCGAAGGTTGCCGTCTGCTTCTCAAAGATCTTGATGTTCTGCAGAGGCCTGGTGAACTCAAGCTTACGAACTGAGGAAAAAAGTATGTAACAGTTAGTACATCTGTATCTGTATCTGTATAGCCGGTATAACCACCCTTCGGCGTAACACACCAGCTTCTGTATCTGTATAGCCGGTATAACCGCCCATCGGCGTACTCACACCAGCTTCTGTATCTGTATAGCCGGTATATCCGCCCTTCGGCATAACACACCAGCTTCGCAGGCACGCGGCGCGGCGGCAGCTAGCTATATCACACCGAACGGCTTGTTACACTCAATCTTTGCACATTTGATTGCAGGAGTTGTTTTAAGTTTTCTAGTGATGATGCCCCAACTGTGCTTGGTGGAGTTTTTGAATACCTCAATTCTTGGTTGATAACTCTTTTAATTCTTTTCTGGGCTGGTATCAGATACTTAGAGGTTGGTACAATGTACTTCCACCAGTTTATTAGTCATTTTGTACATCATGCACAGTCTGGACATGTGGTTAGTACATGTGTGTTTAGCCACATGTCAAGAAAGAAACCGTACAAGCAACTGTTAATGCTTTGAAAACTTTAGCTGTTAATTCCTGAAGTTTTGTTGAAGAAAGGAGCCAGGTTACTTAGAATTTGTGTGTGATACTGTTGAACAGTACACATCTGGATTTCAAAGACCAGATGAACCATAGACAGTTATCAAATGAAGATAGATTTCTGTATTCTGATTACTATATATCATATTAAATATGATTGTTACTTTATGGTCACCCTGTGATTTTATGTGTGAATGTTACAGTAGGACCACATGAAGAATAGATGAACTCTCAATCTAAATGTGGATTCAAATAAAGTCAAAGTCTCCTCACTTTCTAGTACACAAAATGTACCCTAAAGATTCACAGATAAGAATGATTAAATGAAGAAGTTTCCTTACTTTCCACGGTGAGTTGTGTGGTCTGTCTGAAGTCTCCGATGACGACGGCATATTCGCCCGCGTCGCTCTGAGACACGTTGGAGATGGTGAGCCTGTGCACGCAGCCCGACACCTCGATGGTTACGCGGTCGCTCGGGGCAAGCACGCTGCCCTTCCGCTGCCACTGCACCTCAATACCCTCGTGGGAAATCTCAACCTGGTGGTAAATTGAAGAATGTATATATGTAATATATATTCATTTGTGTACTCAAATTGAATTGACAAATTCCCACCCGAAGGGTAAACGCAAGTAACAAAGATAAAAGAAAATTGAAACAGAGTACAAAATAACTTCAAAATCTACATAATTAAAGCCTTAGGTAATTGTTTAAAACCATACCTATGTCTAAAACTAATGTAATGTGTATGTCCTAGTAATATTCTAGATGTTATGAATATGATGTTACAACTTAAGACTCCAGGAAGAGTAGTGAAGTCATGTATATATACATAATTATATAATGTGTCACTAATGGAGGTCTTCTAAACAATTAATAATAAACAAGAACAAACCTCGAAGCTGGCAGTCTCAGTTTCGTAGCACGTAACCGGCTGCAGTGATCGTGTCACCTCTAGGGGGCGCTCTGTAACAAGACAGGGACATGATCGTGAACAAACTTACGCAGTGAAACTTAGTGTAGTGAGTACTAGGTAGTGAGTTCTACCGCACGTAACAGTTTCACAAGGCTTCTTCAAGAACTTCTCAGCCTTACCCAGAGACAAGTGGTGTTACTACAATTTGGGGTGTAACTATTGTATTTAAGGTTGGACTCCATTGTTCATTGCATGTAAAACACTAGTAGAGATCTCAATGAAATGAAGAAACTATATACTATAAGGCCTTAGATGACAGGACTTGGCCAGTCAAAAATTTGGGTGACCGTCTAAATTTGTTGGGTTGAAAACTACAGTTCAGTTCAATTCAACGTTGTTTCAGAATGATTTCTACCAACACAAAAAATTATAAGCTTTGCTTCAGGGTAAGACTGAGACATTTTGGACGAAGCCTTGCGGTTCACTGCTCTATAGAACGTCACCTGTGACGACCAACTGAGCCGTCGCCGTCACATCACGACACTTGAACTTGTACTCCCCGGCGTCCTCAAACGCAAGGTCCTTCAAGGTCAGTCGGTAGAAGAAGTGTCGGTGTAATTTGATCTGGACACGGTCGGAGTTGGCCAGCGCCACACCGTTGTGGAACCACTGGTGCTCAAGGTCGTCCTGGCTGAGCTCGATCTCGAAGGTCACGGCGCCGGTTTCCATGGCTTCCATGTTCTGGAGGGGTTTCTTAACCTCCAGCGGAAGGCCTGGGGAGGGGATAGAACAGACAGGTTGGTGTTCTGTAGGTCAAATGGCAAAGGTCAAAACAACATACTTTTACAGTAGCAAGACTTAGATTTGGGATTTTAGAATAAAAAAAAACCTTACAAATGTATGCAAAAGACTATTTTTTTTCAGGCAAAATATGTATTTCATCAGCCAAATGTAGCTCTTTCATATAGACCATGACAAGTACGAGCAAACCTAATACTAGTATATTCTTCCAGGATCTTTCATCAAGCACTATCTGTCTGTCAAGTTGATGCAGTTCAACACAGGCAACATTTCATATTCAAGTCAGGTCAAGCACATCACAAGTGAAGTTGAACAAATATCCACAATCAGTCAATCAGTGTAGACAGGCATTCACAGTGTAACAAGCATCATGGTGCATTGTGAAACATGGCAAACACACAGTCATTTGTGCTTTCAATTGGTGATCTGAAGGGGCTTTCCAGAAAAAAAAAACTCAATTACCGCTTGAACAGATCATGAAAACATATGATCAGATGATAGTTTGAGTATTTATGTTTACCGAACATATTGTTTTTACTCAGTTTCTTCCTCCTCCTCTTCTGTTCCAAACACTAACCTCTGACCTGGCCAATGACATGATTTGTTGACGTCTGTCACCATGGTGACAGACTGGTGTTGGGTTACATAATGTTGCAATTTCATGGTCTGCCCTACTCCTGTCACCATATACTCGTAGTACATGTATGTGAAATGTGTTTGAGTAAGAATTAACAGGGCAGACCATGTCCGAAGGTAAACATTATGCATTTGCTTTGCAAATGTTACTTCTCTAGTTTTTCTTAATTTCTTGCCTTGCATATGTTTTTTTCTTTTGAAAAGCCCCTGTGTGAAACAGAGAAAAATGAATCCGTACTTACGTTGTGCTGTAACTGCAGATGGAATGGCAGCAAAACAACATGGCAACAGGATGACAAGAGCACAACAACAGCATGGAAACAGTATGATATCAACGCAGCAATAGCACAACAACAACAATGATAGCCTATTAAAGTATGAACACTTGATATGGACAATTAAGTTCAACTTTGATAACAAGTGTTAGCATGTTTTAAAACATAGGCAAGGAACAAGTTGGTTTTGCTACTAATGAAATAATTATGTTCAAGTTATAAATTAAACAACAACTCCTTATCAATGGGATATTATAATCATGTATACCAAAAGGACCCAAATTGGATGTGCTGTAAATTTTGTATCGTAATTCCAAATTCTCTGTTCCAAAGAAATGCAAGAATATTGCATAAAAACAGTAAAATTTTGTTGTGCAGACTTAAAGTAAAGGAGTTTGGTTGAAACTTCTGGAGCATATTGTGTACAATGGCACAATGTAGAACAGATTCAAGAAACAAAATTGAAGGTGTTGAAATAATGTGTTGGCTGATTCTACCAGACTGCTGAGAATTCTAACGAAAATAGTAGCAGTACAATATTCCTAGAAAATTGACACTCTGTTTCAAAGAAATGCTTTTAAAGAAAAACAGCAAAATTTTTGTACCGACTAAAAGGAATTTGAAAGTTCTGAAGCAATGTAGAACAGATTCAAGTCATCAAGAAACAAAATTGAAGGTGTTGAAATACTGTGTTGGCTGATTCTACCAGACTGCTGAGAATTCTACCGAAAATAGTAGCACACATCCAGTGTGAGTCAGTCCACAGGTACCCAGGTGTGCACCTGTGCAGGTGAGTAAGAAAGGCTGTGTTACCTGTAACGGTGAGAGTGGCTGAAGACGTGGCCTTCTCCACCTGGCAGGTGTACTGACCAGCATCCTGCAGTGTCACGTTTCGCACAACCAGCATCAGGCACTTACGCATCACCTGCAATAAATCAATAACTCAACCCATTAACTTATTAACTCAATCCATTAACCCATCAACTAACCAGCATCAGACACTTACGCATCACCTGAAATGAATCAATGACTCAACCCATTAACTCATTAACTTATCAACAAATAAGCATCAACTGTAATCATTAACTCAACCCATTAACTCTTTAACCTGCATCAATAACTCAGACATTAATGTCTCCAATAACTCATTAACCATCTAACTAATCTGCTACCAATACTTGTCTCCCTTGGCCATCTTTTGACCCTCCTTGTACCACCGGGGTTTGGTGAACTCCTGGTTAACTCTGTCCTCACTCTAACCAATTAACTGAGTCAATAACTCATTAATTGCATCAATAACCAGTTAACTAACCTGCTGCTGATACTTGTCTCCCATGGTGATCTCCTGACCATCCTTGTACCAGCGAGGTTTGGTGAACTCCTGGTTGACGTCGGCCTCGAACACGGCGGTGGCGTCGCGCTCCTGTGCAGTCACGTCTGTCAGGTCTCGGGTGAAGCCTAACTCAACCACCTCTGCACAGGGGGAGGTGAGGAGGAAACAGATGTAGTAAATTTTGTTGCAAATTCTTGCCTGAAGCCTAATTGCTAGTTGAACTGGAAGACAATAAGTAGTTCTGGCTCTTAAGATTCTAACTTGTTGGGTTTGACGTCTTTTCTGAAACAACTTGGAAGACACTTTTTCTGTAAAATATGGGTTCTGTGATGTTATAATAGGAGAGTAGTTTTCTGTATGTTTTTACTTTGTTCAAAGTTAATATATACTTCTAATGTTCTCAGAGGAAGTGAGAGAAAACATTGCTATAGTGCTAGTACAGTAACAATTTTGGAAAAAGTTGAAAACACATGTCAATCTGTTCTACAGCTTAGTCTAATTTTTCTGTTTTCTGAAACTTGAACTTGAACTAAAACACGAGACTTACTTGGCACAAGCAGGAAGGCAGTGCATGAAGCCGTTCCTGCCGCGTTGTCAGCCTTGCAGACGTACGTCCCGGAATCCTCGTGATCCGGATTCGGGATGGAGAGCACGCAGGTGGATCCGTCGCGGGAGATCTGGATCCGCTCGCTGGCCGTGATCTCAGCGCCGTTCTTGAACCAGCTGACGCGAGGCTCGGGCTTGCCGGAAACCCTCGCTTCAAATCTGCACTGCTCGCCTGCAGGGGGAGGGGGCAACGAAACAGGTGATTAATTATGAAAAAAACTCTTTTTCTCAGAAGGCAGAGATTATTTCAGCCAAAAAATTAAAAAGATATTTTTTATATACATAAGACTAGTGTTATGGGAGATAGCTTGGAAATACAGAAATGTAGAAAATGTTGAATATATATTATGTATATGAGACTTGAAGCCACAATATATGAGATTTGGGAAATTAAATGTATTACGTTACATGTGTATGGTATACATGTACTTTTTTTTGGTAGATGTGTTTTTCTGAAGTTTGGAAAAAAAGTTATACTATTATCAACAGGTTGGTAAATTGCTAGGTGAGCACTCATTATATCTATGTATCAAGAAAAGAAATGTAAGTTTAATTCTTTTTCTTCCTGAGATGGTACTAATATTGACCTAAAGAATTTGCAAAGATTTGGCATTGACTCAGCTCCTGAACCCTGATATTTCGGATCCTTTTCCTCCACTTTCTAACCTTCACCTCTGTTTGCCTCCCATATTGGGTGATGCTAACTCACTTGGCTACAGTCCTTACATACTCCACATACCACTAAAGCCTACCAACCCACTGCGGCTCCGTGGAACCCATGCAGACATACCCTGCATTCCCAACCTAGAGGGCTCGGTGGAGGTCATTCAGACATACCCCACATTCCTACCCAACAGCCTAACATAGAATAAATACCTCCCGGGCTATTTCTGGCTGGAGGACAAGATCAGATTTCATCATGGCCAAATTTGGTACCTCATTTGCATATAATGGCAGTTAGAGAATATTATTTGAATACAATGGGTAAAATTTGCATACAATTGGCTTTCTTTCAGTGTGGTTCCTTTGAAAGAGCTATTCATCATGCCAGTGCAAGTTAAAGTTACTAAAGGCTTTGCAAATGTTTTGACTTTTGACTTTTTGAAGCATTTGAAGATTTCTACATTAATTCCAATGAAGAACAATCACCATAAATCTTGCATTCTTACTTAAATATCCTTAATTAATGGTTAACAAGTCAGTAACAAGTCTTTGAAATATTAACTTCTTAACTCTAAAAACTTAACAGGTCTTAGTTTTAGTTTCTGGTTCTGTAGCTTCTGGGTGAACGTGCAATTTTTTGTCACACTTTCTCAGAATTTAATGTTTGGTTAAATTTCAACATTTTCTTCATTAACTTATCAATAACCAGGTTTATTAACTTGTTAACTCACCAAGTTTCAGTTTCTGGTTCTGTAGCTTATGGATGAACTTGCAATTTTTCCCACTTTATCCTTAGTTCAATCTGTATATTTACTTCGTAACTTATCAATAACCGGGTTTATTAACTCATTAACTGACCAGGTTTCAGTTTCTGGTTCTGTAGCTTCTGGATGAACTTGGGTTCCTCCATGCCGGGTTCCTTCTTCCTTTTTTTCATATTTTCTTTCACGCTTTCTAAAGAATTATTTACTGTATCTACAATGTAACATCATTATCTAATCAATAACCAAGTTAATTAACTCATTAACTCACCAGGTTTCAGTTTCTGGTTCTGTAACTTCTGGATGAACTTGGGTTCCTCCATGCCTGGTTCCTTCTTCGGTTTTTTCTCGGGCGGCGGGGCGGCCCGGGTGGGCGCGGCCTCCACAGCCACTTCTCGCTTCTTCAGGGGCTTGGCCTCCTGCAAGACACGAGGGAAACGTCTTAGACATGCCTCAAGGATGTGAAAACTGCTAAGCAAAGTCTTAAGGTGGTTGGAACTCGTAAGAAAAGATCTTCAAGTTATGAGAAACAACAGGAGAAAAAAAGAACTACAAGAGCAAAACTTCTCGCTTCTTCAGGGGCTTCGCCTCCTGCAAGACATGGAGGAAACGTCTTAGACATGCCTCAAGGATGTGAAAACTGCTAAGCAAAGTCTTAAGGTGGTTGGAACTCGTAAGAAAAGATCCTCAAGTTTTGAGAAACATTAGCATGAGAGAAAAAATAACTACAAGAGCAAAAGTGTGCAAAAAAGATGTATAAAATAAGGTCTATGTGGACAGGTGGTTGCTAGAGACAGGATTTTTAATGCTTGAGTCAGTGGGAAAAAGTATTTAAGCAACCACCAAAAAGTGATCATCTTGACCTAGTGAGGTGGCCCTTTGACCAGATACCTTCTTGAAGAGTCATGTAGCATGTTTTGTAACTAATGTCTTAAGCTACAAGAAAACAGATTTACTGGTAGTGTCTTTACAATCTTGATTTCTTCCATTATTGAAGAGTCATGAAAATGAATCATTGGTAATTACTCAAGATCTCATGAGCTACAAGAAGACAAATCCGTCCTTACAATTTTGATTTCTTCCTTGGTGATTCCCTTGAGCTCCATGCCGGCCAGCTTCTCGTAGTAGCCGGGCTCAAACCTCTTCTGGAACTTCTTCTGCAGTTCCACTGAGGCAAGCTCTGCTTCACTCTTCTCTTTGGATACTGGGAGAGGAAGAGACAACAAAAAAGTTACATTTTCTGTACTAGAACAATCATACTTAAACTTCTATGTACTTACTGGCTATAATCAAGTCTCAGCATCAGTGTGCAAGCATGTCTAACCCTTGGATAACAGGGAACAATAGACGATAAACCGGATAGTCTTGATCAAAGGTGCCTCTGTTTTGCCTCTGTTTTCTCCGTGGTTATCATAGGATGGAGAAAGAATTTACAGTTTACATTCTCCTAAATTTCCTAGAGAATAGCAGGTGATTATAGATGTTGCTATAGCAAGAAAGTCAATTTTCAAGACATCTTGGTTATAAAGGTTGAGCCATTGTTTCATCTTTCAAAGCATTTTGGTTTTTAACCAAAAAAAATGGGGCCCCCAAATACTGAGGAGCAAACAATTGAGTCAGTTTGGCCGCACATTAAAAATCACTTCGTGTTAGTCACGGTATGACCGGCTTTTAGGGTTTCCCAGTTAACAAACAAGGAGCGACAAAACCAGCTTTTTATGATGCAAATAGCGGAATGTTGAAGGTCACAAGCTGTGGACTTTGCCATTCAATAATGTGACCTTGGGGTACAAAAGACGACCGATTTGCTAAGCTGCACAACTGTCCTAACTCTATCGGCCTGGTTGTACATGTATGTGCAGGCATGTCTGTCTGCTTTCACTTCTTTTGAATGCTAACAAGAAATGTGAACAGTAGTAGCATCACCTTCTAACAGTTTTTCTTATAATTTAGACACTTGAAGGTACAATATTTTGAAACCTTTGGGAACAAAAGATTCTGAGAAAGTACTAAGCAAGGAGTTTTGATAGAAACTCCTTCATTTCAGTTCATTTATTTTGCTAGGAGAATACCCATGGCCTACTTTCCCAGTAACCCACATCTAAAATGACATTCTCAAGAACATAACAAACTTTATACAGAATTCTAACACACTTTCCTGACCAAAGAGAATAAGATATCTGAAGATGCACCAATGAAGAAGTAGACATCCAGGTAATGAGACACAAGAAAACAGTTACTCAATCTGTTAGACATTTCAAGTAGCATCCACTACTTGTTACCAGTGCCTGTTTTCAGAATCTATCCAGTTGCTTGAGTAACTTCTTTCTTGTGTACACATGAATCTTAAGATTGTTTCTTGTGTATATCTTAAGAAGATGTCTTTATCTTAACCCACCTTTCTCGACCTTCTTGAGTTTGGGCATCTCGAACCCTGGCGAGCGATCGCGCTTGATGGTGATCTCCTCCCGGCCCTTCAGGCGGTGGTAGCGCCGAAGGTCAGGGTCAGCTGCGGCTGTGAGGAGGGAAAAACGGTTTGAACTTTTCTGTGTTTCTCGGCGTGAAAAATCGATTATTTCTGGTGTTTTTTTCTCTCTTCTTCTGCTGATTTTGGTGCTCAGTGAACATTCAGAAACATACGTACAAGGGATGGACCAGGAAGTACTGCTATGGGAAGCATATCTTTGTGAAAAAAGACTTTGGTATGAATTTTACTATGATCCAAGCATCCAAGTCACTATGATTATGCAACTATTGTTCCATCATCAATGTAGAAAATAGTTTAAACATTTCTGTGCGTGAAAAATTGATTATTTCTGCTGCTTTTGGTGTCCATAGAAGCCACGACCCTAACAATTTTTTTCACACAAAATCAACAATTGGTCAAATGGCATGTTCATTTACATGTTATTCACTGTACGACATAAGATTTGTGTATCATCATTGAGTGTCATGTTCAATAGATATTAAAATATCTAAGCCTTACTTTTAGGAGGAGTCTTCAGGATGGTCCTGTAGTCCTCTTTGAGCTGTACCTCGAGTGGCACGACCGTCTCGGCTGTGCCCTGGCTGTTTTCAGCCACCACCTTGACCTCTCCGGCATACAGAGTCTTGCACTCCGGGATCTCGAAGTGGAAAATTCCGTCGTACCAAACACGGAAGCGCTTGCTCTGCATTCAAGAAAAAACATATGTCAGGCATTTTGAATAAATTATGTTTTATAATTATAGGATGCTGAGTGCACAACTTAGAATGAAGTCGAATGTGAACAAAATCTAACTTTCTAGCTCTTCAAAACTTGAACAAGTAATACAACAAAGGTGTTTTTTTTTCTGACACATGAATGTCAAGAATATACGTCTAGTACTCTATGTTATTACCAAATACTAGTGGGTGTACTGGAACACCGTCACTCAAAAGTTAGGTGCAGAGCTCCAATATTGGATACAACCAGTACTTCAACCCCTGTAAGATGTGTCTCTTAAGATTGAAGTTAACAGTTACAAAACTTAAGGATAAGTTGCTGTATTTACATGTAAAAGACGTGTAATGAGTGACTAAGATACAAAGATCAAAGTTGATGAGTTCAGAGTTGAAAGGTGTCTAACATTCCTGATGATGGTTCCTAACCCTAACCCTAACCCTAACCCAGTCAGGCACTAAGAACTAGATAAGCACGGTTCTGCATACAACAAAAGGTGACAAACCTTCCTGATGATGGTCCCGTTGAGGTACCAGCGTACTTTCGGCTGTGGGTGGCCGGTGATGCGGCAGTGGAACTTGGCCTGTTCCTAACCCTAACCCTAACCCTAACCCTAACCCTAACCCATTCAGGCATAGACCTATATAGCACAGTTGTGGATACAACAAAAGGTGACAAACCTTCCTGATGATGGTCCCGTTGAGGTACCAGCGTACTTTTGGCTGTGGGTGGCCGGTGATGCGGCAGTGGAACTTGGCCTGTTCCTAACCCTAACCCATTCAGGCACTAAGAACTAGATAAGCACGGTCCTGGGTACAACAAAAGGTGACAAACCTTCCTGATGATGGTCCCGTTGAGGTACCAGCGTACTTTCGGCTGAGGGTGGCCGGTGATGCGGCAGTGGAACTTGGCCTGTTCCCCCTCCACCACGCGGCAGCCTTCAGGTGGCATCACGATCTCCGGCGGAGCCTTCTCAAACTCTGGCTCTGCCTCGTCTACGTACGTACGCATGGTCGATCTGGGGAGAACAAAAGTGAAGTACCAGAGTTATCAACCAAGGATTGAGGTGTTCAAAAACTTCCCTAGAAGTGTCCCAGAGTGGAACTCACTGCCACCAAGCACAGTAGGGGCATTATCACTAGATAGCTTTAAACAGTGAGACTTCTCATAACTTGTGTTATCTTCAAAGCATTTCAAACTGAGAAAAAAGTACACGTCAAATGCTAGCTACTGTAGAGATTAGTATTGCTTTCTACAAAGTTCATTTCATAAAGATTCTCATAAGATTTAAATGTAAGTCCACAAATAGAGATTCTGAGAGAACAGCTTACTGTGCAATCCTTGCATTACCTTAACTCATATACTGTCAGATAAAACTTTTTTAAGCTGAACATGTTGAAGCAACTAAAAGCTGTATTGCTGCCTTGTGTGTAATAAAAGTGGTTTGTACTCACTCTCTGAGTTTCCTCTCGTACTCTGTGAGTTTGCTGATGCCTCGCATGCCTTCAGGCAGCTGGGTCTCCTCAATCTTACCAGGGACATCTGAGGAGAGGGGCAAAACACAGTTATATAGGTCAGGATCAACACCAAGGGTCTTCTGTACAGCATAAACTGTAAGATAAACATGCACTGTTAAATTTCACGTTCAACAGTCAATGGTCCTTTGTACAGCATAAACTGTGAAACAAAAATGCAGTTACATGACAAGTTCAACAATCAAGGGACCTCTATACACATACATTGTAATGTCTAGAATTATGAAACTTTTCTTATGATTGTCTACAGAAGAACCTACTGATTCTAAAGTGTTACAGAGACCAGATAATCAAAGGAAGAGTCTATCCCAGCATTACTACATTTTTTTGTTAACTTTAAAGTCTGTCTATATAACATCTGTGAAACAGTGTGCTTAAAGATATTTTTACTGCAACATACTTTTGGCATACACTCCTTCACACATCAAATGTACATACCCAGGGTATGTTGCACTAAAAATATCTTTAAGCACACTGTTTCTCAAGGTGGCGATATTATGGACCCTGGTGATATTATGGACACGGATGTTAGTGGAATACTTATACAAGACTGTACAATTCTGAATCCTTATGCAACACTATGCTTTTATGGTAATTACTGGATTGTAAAGTCTTCTTGGAGACAAATAGAAAATCCTGTCCAGGTAAGCATAAGAATTGCAGATTCTATAACTAACCTTTAACAACCAGACGTGAGGAAGTTTCGGCCTCTCCGTGCTGATTGGTTGCCCTGCATGTGATGATGCCGGTGTCACGTGGGTAGGCCACCAGGTAGTCCATGCTCACAAAGCCAAACTCGTTCACATACTGCAGACGGTTGGCTGGAGGGGAGGCAAGAAAACAAGATGTGTTCAACTTAGCGTTCTAGTGGCAATACTACTGCAACATTGCACAGGAAAGGAGTGTTAGCATTCTAGTGATAACATTATTGCAATATTGACATTTTCTTTGTGCAATGCCAGACTGAGTGTTCTAGGGTCAAAATCAGGACACATAAATTTGATTTTTTGGTTCTTGAGTTTTAAAGAAAAAATTATGCTAGATTAGAGAATCTATTTGGTTTCAAATATTCAAGGAACCTTCCGCTTTGTTCGAAACTAGTCAAAGAATGTTTGCCTGTGATAACTTCAAAGTCTAACAATCCAGTAGGCCTCACAATAGTCCTTCATTCTCTTTCAATCCTCATATCAATGCACTATTAAAGATGATGAAGATAAATTTTTGTATTAATTCCATGTTTGCCATACCTGCTTTAATGGGCTGTCCATTGTTGTGCCATAATTTATACTTAGTCTACTGATTGTAAGACCTAAGTACATGTAAGATCATTATAAAATTTCTTATTGAGTTCGTGTTTCCCCTACCTGCTTCAATGGGCTGCCCATTGTTGAGCCACTCCACCTTCATGTTAAGTTTAACGCATCGCTATATATTACTGCTACATGAAACAAGTATTTTTAATGTCTTTTCTATGACTTTTTAAATCAATCCCCTACCTGCTTCGATGGGCTGTCCGTTGTTGAGCCACTCCACCTTCATGTTGGGGTCTCCGATGGGGACCAGACGACACTCGAAGTGAGCGCGCCCCATCCCCTCCAGGTTCACTGGGCTGATCTTCGTCTTAAAGACGGGACGCTGTTTACGCGTCTTGTCGTACAAGTCTTCCTCGTCAACAGTCTCCTCGCCAAACTTGGAGATGGCTGTCACCTCCCTGTGGTGCAAACACAAGATTTTGTCAATAAACTTTATAGCAAACAGGGGCTAAATATGTTAAGTTAGTCAGATAACTAATTCAAAAGTAGAAGAGTAGGAAAATATAGGCAGTGTTTCATCTGTATTGTACAGAAGTCTGTCTTCACAAAACATCTCAGCCTACAACTTTACTAGACAACTTTACCGAGTTTTTCAATTATTGCACTGCAGTTTTCAAATTCCAATAGAATATCCTCCTTTGATATCCTCCCTAAAGTTTACCCTCCTTTGTAGGGAACTTACAACAAGAGATTATTCAATATAATGCATGGGAAAATAGATAATACATGAACACATGGTCCACACAGTTTCACGGAGCAATTTTTCCTCCCAGCTCTCTGTTTTCATAATGAGTTCTTGTGGCTTTACAGAAAAAAATCCACCAGGTAAAACTTACTCTCTCTTGAACTCTGCGGTCCTCTTGGACTTGGCGACGACCAGCCTCTGCGGTGGTTCAGCCTTCTTCAGTGTTGGGATGACGGTGAGTTTGCATCGCGTTGCCACGGTCCCGGCGCTGTTAAAGGCCACGGCCGTGTACCAGCCGTCGTCCTCCTTGTCTGTCAGGTCAAACATCAGCGACACCATCCCGTCCTGGTTCATCATCCTGGGGGAAGAATAAATATTGGCTTGTTTTGTAAGTTTTCTGGGTCTAGATATATAAAGATGCACTTTTATTTGTAAAATTATGCCTGTAGGCTATGTGCATCATGCACAATGTCAAAGAAAGTAACTATTTCAAAGTAAAACCATAGAGAACATACAACTACTGTCTGATCAACAGTTGTACTGGCTACTAACTACAGTAACTACAATGTATGTTTACTACTATGAGATTCTTTTTTGAAGGCAGTGGATAATGATTAGTCTCACATTCTGCATAATGAGTGGGTTTTGTGATCTTAGTACAAAGTAATGTTAGTCTTTTGTTTATCTTTTTCAATGGCAAAAGAATGGGAAATTACAGTGTATGGCAACAGTTTGAAACAATTTTGTTTTACTTGTTGATAATTCAGACTAATAAGATGTATTATCATATAGCCGGGTGACGTTGACCAATCAGAAGGCTTTATTCCACATTCTTTATGTCGCCGTAATGTCACAAATAGAGTCATAATCGGGTATTTATTCATCCCAATCCATACATTAAACAAAATGAATAATCACCCGCATATGACCTCAGGTGACCCAATAGAACACGGCTCTACTTCTAAAAAATCCAAAAATAACTTGAGTTGTGTTCCAATGACCTCGGGTGACTTCCATAAGAACACCTGTTCCCTGCCTGTGACCCAGATAGAAGGCCATAGAACGTGAACCCCCCAGTGACCTCAGGTGACTCCAGATGGAACAAATATTCTATGTTCTATTCAGCATGTGCAAGGGGTAAATTGTACATTGTGTCACTCTTCACTGCATCAGTTTGGATAGGCTATCGTGTAAGCTATATGATAATAGAGTTAATGGCCCGCCCTTTCTCGGTGAATATGGTGTGATAAAGCCTTGTCAGTTGCTATAACCACCTCATAAAGCCACCTCGTTCGCTGCGCTCACTTGGTGGCTTTATTCGGTGGTTATAGCAACTGACAAGGCTTTATCACACCATATTCACCTCGGGGCGGGACATTAACCCTTAATTAAAATGTATTTTGATGAGAATCTTAAAAAGGAAACACTGCATACCTGAGTCCAGGTCTCTCAGAGATGGTGTATCCGTCCTTCTGCCATGCGATCTGTGGGTAGGGCACACCGTGGATGCGGGTGCGCATCTCTGCGGGCGCTCCCTCCTGCACCTGCACGTTCTGGATACGCTGCAGGAACTCAGGACGCTCACCGATCACTCGCGCTGGGGAAATACACATTGCCAAGTATTCTTTAGAGCTTGCTACAAACTTTTTGTATCCCATCTCTGTATCCCCCAAGGTTCGCCACAGGCTAATTGAGTAGCCTTGGCTGTATGATCAGCCAAATAAATTATATAAATAAGTAAATTTCCAAATAAATGCATCTCCTGCAGACCTAAATTCCACATTACACAAGCTGCAAAAACACATAATAATTAGTTACATTCCTTAGAACTTGCAATAAATAAATCAAAGACCTTTATTGTACATTTATGCCCTTACAACCTTGGTAAAGGTAATGGTGATAAAAATTAGCAGTTGTAGGTTTTAGGTCTTAATTTTAATTGGAAAGAGCATTTTCTGAATGCAAAAGTGAACAATTACCAAATAGCACATCAGATCCTTGAGCACATAATCTACAAAATAACATTGCAGTTACGGAAAATTTCAACTCGAAAAGACTAAGATACACAAAACGATGAAGAGCTTCTACTCACGGACAACGTTGAGTCTGACAGTGAACGATGCCTTCCCGGCGCGGTTCACGGCGACACAGGTGTACTCTCCCGAGTCGTCTGGCGTGGCCGGGATGATCAGCAGGGACCGGATACCGCCCTCATTAACCACAGCCTGGAGCGCAGTGGGAATAGTCATCAGCACTCTCAGACGCAGTGGGATTAGACAGGTGTAACAAGGACATTCTGGAGCTAGAGTCCAGTACAGTCAAACCTGTGCAAGTGACCACCCTTACATAACGACTGTTTTATTTCGTTTCATTTTATTTTATTTCATTTATTTTACCAGATGATTACACTCAGGTCTTTTGACCTATTTTCAGGTATCTCTGGGAAAATAAAATATATGCTATAAATGGGAAAATTTTACTTATTGTTGTACTTGTATCTAGAACTGTGCTTTATCCAGAACCATACTCAGACGTGGTTTTGGATAGTCCAGGTTCAGGCAAAAACCAGATAGGCACAGTCCTGGATACATTAAGGACCACCTGGCCAATGTGATTACTTCTTTTTATCTCTTAGATAATTTCTCCCATTGTCACAAGCAGTAAGAATACTGTCTATAGTAACTACTTGTCCACATAGGTTAGATTTTATTGGTCTCAAGTGGTCTTCTTGGGCAGCTTTGACTGTGTGGTAAGTACATTGTAGGAAGGTTAGAAGGTAATGATAGTGAGCAAGGAAAGGTAAGGAAAGCATGAAGGAAAGTCTTAGAGGAGAAGAGACATTTTCTTTGGTTTGAAGACTGTATGCTTATAAATCAGACAAAAAACTCTAAGAAGGAATGAGAATTTGTCTCACTCTCGGATTCTTCAAGCCAGCAGAGAAAAAGTTGAGGACTAAACATATTTCTACTTGTATATAGAATTTAGACACTGTTTGCAGTGACTATGTTATACTAGCTACTGTCATACAATCGGATCACATCCAGATTTTGTTAGGCAAGTATGAAATCTGATGTAACATTAGAGGATGAACACACAAAACCATGACATCGTGAATTTCAGGTTTCATAGCCATGGAAGTGGACATTTCATCACGTCTGAACCTGGGACAGTTCACACCTTCTGCTGGCCATGGATGTAATCATTAACCTTAGGTTAAACTGAGATGTTCTAACTGTATATATACACTTGTGTGAATGTTGGCACACAAAGTATGATGATCATCATGTTACTGGTAGATTGATAGACTGGTAGTTAGTTGTAAAACGTTTTAATGCCATCTTTTGTGTGAATGTGGCACACAAAAGACTAAGTAATGATGATCATGCTTTGGGTTCATTTTAAGTTTGGCTTCTGCAGAATGCCATTGCATATCAGATTCTGATTCTGCTTTAAAAATCATCACCAAAAAAGTTTCAGTAAAAAACAACATGCATTAGTTACAGCTACTACATGTAAATGGTATTTATTATAATTTCAAAATCTGTACATTTACATGAGTAGTTCAAAGTTGGGAGGAATTTAGGGGAACTAAACTGATATTTACTGAAGATCTGATATATTAAACTGAACTGAAGATTTTATATATGAGCCTATGACAAAACATCATCTAACTTTTCCTATCTTGCAGTTTTTTTGGACTTCCTACTCCACTAACTTTTAAAACAGTTTCTACTGGAGTTGTAGTACAATGGTCAAGGGTTATTGGTCAAGGGTTAGAGTGCAGGGGTCTCTCTCAAGTTCATACCGCAGGTTCAAGGAAGTTTCATCAGGAACCTCAGACATCTTGGTTTGAATCATGACGGAATTGAATATTTGACAGCAACGTTCTACTGGGGGTTGCCTAGCAAAGCAGGTCAGGGGTCACATATGCAGCGGTTTGGGGGTCAAGGGGCAGGGTCAGGTCACTGTGGTTCATAAACCGCAGGTTCATTTAAGGACATGAAGTTTCTTCAGGAATCAGAGACTCCTTTTAATCACAACCACAAATGGGGTTTACAGAGCATCTCATTTTTCTCTTTGCAAAATGCACAGCTCGTTATAATAAATTAATTTTTCATCCAAATTTGCGACTGTCAGGATAGGACAATTCTTCTTAAAGTTTATAGTAGGACAATAGAGTGAGAAAAGAGTACAATGTAGATAAGAAAGAGATTTTAGTTGTAAGTGTGCAGAAGCTCGAAAGTTAGTACAACATAACAGACAACACAAATAAAACAAGTTATAAGAGACAGTTCTGCACTGTCTAAATTTGCAATATTGCTCCAACATAGCCTGGGTACCAGGTTTGCTCTGCTATATGGTAGAAAAAAAAATCTTTTTTCTAGCGTAACGGAGCAAAATCCAGATGGTACACAGGCTAGCACCAACAGAAATGCACAGAAATTTATATTTTTGAAACAAAAAAGGTCTCTGGCTGCTTTTCTGCATATATTTTGATGCAATCAAAGCTGTCCAGAGCAAAGCCATGACATCTTTTATGATTTACTACCAGTCCCCCCAGAGTTACCATATCAGACGTACCATATGTGTGGCATCGTCTAGAACAGTTACAAGAAACAGTTCTGAACTTTCTGAATTTGCACAACATATCTTTGGAGACAAGTTTTTCATAGATTTTGATGCATTTAAAGCTGTACAGATCAGAGCCACAACATTTTGTATAACACTAACAATCCCCCAGAGTAGCCATCAGACGTACCTTATGTGTGGCGTCGTCTAGTACAGGTTGTCCGTTGAGGAACCACTGGATGTCGGGAGGGGGGCGGCCTGACACCTTCAGGTCAAACCTTGCCATCTGACCCTCGATGACCTCCAGGTCCTCCGGACGCTGAACAATCTGTGGGCATAGCATGAAAGTTTAGTCTTCAGAGTTCGACATTCACTTTTGGGAATAGGTGCACTGGTGCACCCAACTTTAAAAATTGGGTGCACAAAAATTTTTTTGGGTGCACCATATAAAATCTTACTGCTCCTTTTCTAAGATTGAATCTGAAATGGGAGCTAGCTTCAAAATATCAAACAAGTACTACAGCAAAGATTTTAGTACTTTTCTGACACTTTGGTGCCTAGCATATCCTGTATGCTATACATTTAATAAGTAAAAAACTGCCTACAAAATATTTGGGTGCACTGGTGCACCTGCAGAAAAACATTGGGTGCACTGATCCAATTTTGGGTGCACTAAGGTGCATGTGCACCCGGTATTTTGATCCCTGATCTATGTTGGTATACTTCATTATGACCAAAAGGGCTAAACGTTCTTGCCAACACAAAGTAAACTGGGACCCTTCTACTGCAGCTTCCGGGACGTGACATTGGAAACACATGCTTGCAGCAAAGGAGTCGGCTAAAAATTTGGGTAAGTCCCAATTTACTTAGCGTTGGCTTGAACATTTAGCCCTTTTGGTCATAAAGTTTAGTCTTTATTTCATTAGGATACTGACCTGTGGGCGGAAGTGTTTCTCCTTCACGCCGGGTTCTGTCGTGTCTCGGCGCGGAGACCGGGAACGGGCGCGGGGGCCGCGCTCCGGGCTGGCGCCGCTCTTCTTCGCCTCCAGGTACTCGCCGTACCCCTCCATCGAGATCTTGGACTCGATGATGCGGGCTTCAGCAATGCCTGGGGAATAAGTTTGGCTAATTAGTATCTAATTATCTAATATAATCATGATAACAACATGAAACAAGGTGAAAACAATACAGCCAAATAATGCAGATTTGAGAGGATGTCTCTAACTAAAGCTTGGTACTCATTTTCACTGAGTGGAGTGGAAAGGAAATAGGTGCAAAGTGCCTTTAAGTTTGTTAATTGCACAACAATTAGGACTGCCAGGGATTCGAACCCAGTCAACAACCCTGACCACAGCAAGACCACCTTTCTGCCACCAAAGAGAAAGGTAAAAGCTTGTCTTGTACCTGCTTTACGTGGTACTCATTTTCACTTGAGTTGAGTGAGGAAAAAAGTGCAAAGTGTCTTTTAGTCCACAGCCTAACCAAAAGAACTTCTTCAACAAAACAGCTTGTCTCATACCTGCTTTGCGTGTGAGTCCAGCTTCGCTGGGTTTGATGACGGCCTCGCCCTCAGTCTCGGATGCAGAGAACTTCTCCTCCATCTCAGTAACCAGGGAGATGCGCTGGGCCTTCTTTGCCTTCTCCTCCTCCTCACGCAGCCACATCTCATACTCAGCTGTGGAAACAACAATCAAGAACTTACTGACATGTCTTAGGTTTTCCCAACAACTTTCTAAGGTAACCAGGGAGATGCGCTGGGCCTTCTTGGCCTTCTCCTCCTCCTCTGGAAGCTACATCTCATACTCAGCTAAAGGAAAAAAAAGTCTTAAGGTTTCTCAAGAACTTCCTGACATGTTGTAAAGCTTCTCATAGACTTTCGTTTACTTTCTAATATCGTACACATCCAAGGTTATGTCAGATGTGGTTGAATAGATTCTCTAACACTTGAAGAATAATTTAGAAGTGTTATAGAACTTTCTCAAGAACTTTCATGTACTTTCTATGATTACACATACTCATGTTTTACCTAATAGTATGTAGACCTTCTTGACCCATGGCTATTTCAGTGGAAAGCATTTCAGTACCTTGGCGGTTTTCACAGTCTTCACAGACTTTCATTCAGTCTTAAAGCATAATTTTGTCTAGTCCTTTTGAGACATACACCTTCAGTCATGAGACAAGCTTTCTGTATGGCCTGAGATCAGATTCCTTTGAGACATAACCAGGTTCCTTTGAGACGCATACTTAAAAGTAAGGATCCTTGAAACACGTCAGTTTTCTTTAAGACCTTACCTTCAGTCATGAGGCGAGCTTTCTGTGTGGCCTGTCCGGAGGGGCTGCTGGCCGTGACAGCGTATTCACCACAGTCCTCAGGCAGCAGCATGGAGATGGACAGCATGGCAAATCCCATCTCATAACTAATCATGTGTCTGTAAAAGAAATAAAGTTAACATGATAAGGCATGCTATCAAACATTCAGGTTAGATGTATAATATAATGGTGTAGCATAGCCTCAAAACGTAGCTGGTATCTGGGAGAATATGGGAAGAAACTAATCAAAGTACTTAAAAAAACTAATACTGACAACAGATTCCTTCAAAATCCACAAAGATTCCTATAAGAAGGGTACAGCTTCCTATAAGATGCATTAGTGTAAATGTGAAAAGATTTGTCTGTGTACAAATTCCGTTAAAATACATATGGAGTCCATTAAGAAGTGTATATATAGACAGTACACTTTCCTCAAGATGCATAGGAATTCCTTTAAGATACGTACCTGACACCGGACTTGAGCTTGACTCCGTTGAAAGTCCAGGAGATTTCGGGGCGGGGGTTTCCGTCCACCGGAATCTTGAAGATCACGGTCTGACCTTCGACATACTTGCAGGGCATGAGCCTGGCCGTGAAGGTCGGCTTGGAGATGCCCTTGGTACTATCTACTACAAAATCATGTGGTCCCCTGCAGAAGGAAAAATAAAAGGTCAGCAATCATTGCAGTGCATATCATTATGTAGCAAAGTTTCAGGACAGAGTGGGAGGGGCTGGTAACCATATAATCATACGTGATTGGTATTATCTACTACAAAATCATGTGGTCCCCTGGAGAGGGAGGAAACAAATACATTATGTAGCAAAGTTACAATATAGAGTGGGAGGGGCTGGTCACCATATATATGTGCTTGGTAATACATGTATCTACTAAAAAATCATAGGTACATTAATTTTGTAGTTCATGTGTAGTTTATATTCCCTAAAATGGTCAGAAAGAGTTTGTTCATTTTGTTTTCTCCACTGTGATACAAATAATAATGATGATACTATTCTGGAGAGGAATGCTATCTATGATATAATTGTACTTACTCTTCGACTTTTGGTGGCGGTGGTGGTGGAGGTGGCACCTCGATGCCCACTGCAGCTGCAGAAGAGAAAACACAGAAGTTCAGGCATGTTAGAGACTGTGTGGTGTTGAATTACATTATGCAGCAAGACTAGTGGCATGACAGATTTGGAGGGGCTGCTCATGACATACATGTATATGAATTTGTTTGAGTAGGAATAAACAGAGAGGTAGTCTGAAGGCCTAGACCATGTAAAGTTCTGTCTCTTCCTGTCTAGATTGTATAGATGTTTGACTTGCTCCCAGCCTCGTTCAGAGCGGTGCAGGTGAGCTTGTGTGTTTGTGTGTTTGTTTGTTTGTTTGTGTGGTAAGACTTACGGTTGACGTGCAGGAAGCAGTAGCAAGACCTGCTGTTTGTTTGTTTGTGTGTGTGTTTGTTTGTGGTAAGACTTACCGTTGACATGCAGGAAGCAGTAGCAAGACCTGCTCCCCGCCTCGTTGAGCGCGGTGCAGGTGAACTTCCCGGCATCGTCGATGAACACCTCGGAGATCACCAGCCGTGCGACGTCACCCTCCTGAGAAATGGTGAAGTCTGGGGAGCTCTCGATCTCGGCGCCTTCGCGGAACCTGGGGGAAAACAGATAAATGCTTAGTTTTATGCCTCACAATCTATAAACCTCTGGGATGATATCCACTCAATATGAGAAGAAACAGTATTACAGTAAACTGTATTTCTGAAAACTAACTTGGGGTTACTTTTCAACAGTTTAGAATCTGATGTATAAGACATTTTTAGATATGGCTTTGTGAAAACTGTGAAAAAACAAATGAATGCTTGTGTTTAGCCCCCCCAAACATAGTGAGAAAGCATGTGAATTAAAAGAAAGTTGTACTTTGGAATACACAATGTGGGAGTTGAAAAAAACTTCATTGGAGGTTTAGCAATTTCTTGAGCCGATGCTGAGAATTGAGAACATTGTGCCACTTCTTCAGACATAATCTTTGAAAGGCTGAAGCCATATAATAAAAGTAAAACAAAGACCAACTTACCACTTGACATGTGGGCGCGGCTCGCCGAGGACGAGGCACTCAAAAATGACACATTCCCCTTCCTCTGCTGAGATGTCTGACAGGGCCTGGTGGAAACACAAACAAACAGTCAACAAACATTGTCCAACATTGTAACTCAGACAGACTATGATACAAAATCACGAAGGTTGATCTGTGTTGGTGGTTACATGTTTTAAGTTAAAACTTTAGATCCAACATCAAGAAATTCTCTCACCTAAAGCTTTCGACCAGTCACTCTGGTCTTCCTCAGTAGACTGGCCCAGTGAGGCTTGTCATGTGGCTTCCCTACTGGGTCAGTCTACTGAGGAAGACCAGAGTGACTGGTCGAAAGCTCTACATTTTGTAGGTCAGAGAATTTCTTGATGTTGGATCTTAAGTTTTAACTTCAAACATGATGCAAAATGTTAATGTCTGAGGTAGACTGTCAAGTTTGAAAAGTGGAGTCATGTGGTATTTCTGTTAGTTTTGATGACAAGAATTCGACACAAACAAACAGTCAACAAACATCTTCTAGCATTATAACAGATTATGACACCAAACTGTGTATGTCTAGTTTCAAAAGTAGAGTAATGTTAGAGTTTTGTTAAAAAGATTTTGACGCTGATTTGCTCTCATAGTAGCGATAATGATTCTGTATCATTTGCCTTCAGATGTTCAGACATTTGACGGTCATGGTAAATCACTGAGCAACAGTAGCATCAAGAAGGAAAACAACCAGGGGGTTACACAACTATGTTACAACAAGTCAACTCAACCTAAGTTCTAACAATGCCAATGTCAGGACATAGGGCTATGTTAGAATATAGGGCTATATGGAACCATAGGGCTATCCCCATCTAGGGTACATGCACATGCATGAGACTTAAGCAATGACTTTAAGACGGTGTCACTTACTCTTATCTTCTAAAACAAACACTTGGCAATAACTTATAATTAAATGTGTGAATTTTGATTGACAGAAAGTATCTTGATGTCATGCACTGTAACAAGACAACATGCATGAATACATGTTCACGTATGTAAGAATAAATACTGATAGGGAAGTAAAACATTTAAGGCCACACCAATTTAATTTGTTGGTTCTCGGATTCGCCTCTTCATTTTTTTCTGATTTGCAAAAAAAAAAAAAAAATTGATTCTGGTCCTGAATGAACTGAA